CCGCATCGGCTGTGTCCGACCCCGTATTAGCAAAGTCTGGAGTAGTAGATAAGCAGTTGTTCCCCAGCTCTCAATTTCCTTTCTTCTCTTCAATAACATATAACATACCAATTCAATCGCTACAACTACAATCAAAATGCTCCCCTCTCCCGCTGCCGTCCACGCCGCCCACTCTCTAATCCACCCCTACATCCACCATACCCCCCTTCTAACCTCCCGCACCCTCAACACCATCGCCTCAACCCCTCAATCCCCCGCGGCACTAGTTGGAACACCCTTTGAAGGCCAGGACCCATCCCACCCACGTTTGCGCTTTTTCTTCAAATGCGAGAATTACCAACGCATCGGCGCGTTCAAGGCGCGCGGGGCATTCCATGCATTACTGCGGCTTGTTGAGGAGAGAGGAGAGGAGGAGGTTAAGAGGAGGGGTGTTATCACACACAGCTCTGGTACTTTCCCTTCCCATAGAACTATCCGAAGAGAGGCAGTGACTAATAATGTAGGAAACCACGCCCAAGCCCTCGCCCTCGCAGCCTCAACGCTGAATATCCCCGCTTACATCGTGATGCCTCGCATAAGCACTTCGTCCAAAATCTCAGGAACACAATCGCACGGCGCGGAGGTCATCTTCAGTGGATCAACCAGCGTCGAGCGCGAAGCTGTCGTGGCCGATATTCAAGGCAGAACAAACGCGATTCTCGTGCCGCCGTATGACGATTACGATATCATCTGTGGGCAGGGAACGACGGGGTTGGAGCTTGAGGAGCAGTACTGGGATACTGTGCGGAAGGAGCCGGGTCTTAGTGTCCATGGGGATACAGGTGCAGGTCTCGATGCCGTGATCACGCCTATTGGTGGCGGTGGATTGAACGCCGGCGTAGCAACGTTTTTCTCGGACAAGTCGACGCGAGTCTTCGGCGCTGAGCCGAACTTCGAAGGCGCGGACGATTGTCGTCGTGGGTTAGAAGCCGGGGAACGCGTTCCGGCTGTCAGTACGCTGACAATAGCTGATGGTTTGCGGACGCCGGTTGGTTTGTTGAATTGGGCTGTTATCTCAGACCCGAATAAGGTAGCTGGTGTCTACGCTGTGACGGAGGAGCAGATCAAAGCTGCGATGAGGCTTGTGCTGGAACGTATGAAGGTTGTTGTTGAGCCAAGTGCGGTTGTGGGACTTGCTGTGTGTTTGTATAACGAGGACTTTCGACGACGGGTTGTGACGGAAGCTGGAGAGGAGGGCTGGGATGTTGGAGTCGTATTCAGTGGTGGGAATACAACCGTCGAGGCCATTGGAAAGTTGTACAGTTAGATACTCATCAGATATGCACACCCTCTCTATCCGCATCAAACACAAATCCTCTACCCCGTCTCTCCAACTCCTCGACCACTCTCCTCGACCACTCCTCCCTCCCCAATCCATTTACACACCCCAAAAACCGCCCTTGTCCGTTCGTTCTCAGAACAACCCGTAGTGTCGGAAACAGTCCCCAAGGCGGCGGCAACGAGCACCGAAACGCCACCAGCTCGTCACCAGACACGGATGCAGCCCTCCCAACCCAAGCCGTAGTCGTATACACAACCGCACATCCAAACACACTCTGTACCCTCTTCAACGCCCTCACAAGCTCGGCATACATATCAGCGATGTAAAAACTTGATTTCGATCTGCGGGCATATTCGATTTCAGCATGCGGACGACCGATCTCTTCGACCCGGGCGACTTGGTCGCGGAGTTTATCTTGCCAGAGGAAGGCCGTTGCGCTGTCGACTAAAATCCCATGAAGGGGGCGGTTTGTCGAGAGGTGGCGGGTTAGGTCGAAGAGGTAGGATTGTAGGGATTGGAGGGTTGCGAGAAAAGATGCTGAGGAGGTAGGACGGAAGACGTGGACATGTTGAAGGGAGTTGTAGAGTATGGTTTCGATGTCAGGCTGCTCTACCAACTGCTGCTTTAGTTTCTGTTGGATGATGTCCCTAGCAACACTAAGCAGACGATCCGCATCAAATCGCCCATCTGCATCAACAAAGACAACAGCAGCATTCCGTCCATCGATCTGGACGTCGTCAATCGTCGCTGGCAGAACAGCAATAGCCGTGAGATAGTACAGCAGCTGGGATTTTCCAGCCGCCGACGAAGTACTTGAAATCTCGACCACCGGGTCTGGACGAGCTCTGGCTCTATGATGTGCTTGCCTTTCGTCTGGCCGTAGATTCGAATTCTCCTCTGGGTGTTGCTGCTGGGAAGGAATAGGGACGGGCATGAAGACTTCCAGGAGGTCATCCAAAGCCTTAACGCCTAGACGATTGCTGGATTCATCTGCGCATATGTTTCTTAGATCATGTAGAATCTATAATAATCAGCAGTTATCCCAATATGAATATGGCAAGAGGTACCTCATCCAGTCTCACTTCAGTCACCTCCCCAAGCAATTTCTCTCCGAAATTGGCGGCCATTTGCGCGGCTTGAAGAGGAAAGTGTCATAGCAGTATTCATAACACTGTAAATTGACTATACATTGTAATTCATTGTAGTTATTGAAGGTACCACAATCAGAGATAGCTGCACCGATGCTGTCAGAAAGCGGAACTCCGCAAAACCTCCGAGATCCCACATTCACCTTGCGCTCATACAACCACCTACTCACACCTCGACCAAACAACAATTCCAGATAACTATATAAACAGTGATATGGCCCCCCTCGTTCCCGTCTTCTCCTCCGAGTCGCTACCCTCCCACGTCAACACGATCCGGCGAAACTTCCACGAAGAAAAGCGTCGCAAAGGACCCGCGATCGACCTGAAAGAATGCCCATTGCTCGAGATGGTGCAGTACTCTTGCAATCCGCCGCAAGATGGGATTCCGACGCCGGGGAGTATCGTGTGTAAGCCGGTTGTGCGGTTGTTTAGACGGTATATCTCTTTTTCTGTGGGGTCGGTTGTTATGATTGTTGACGCTTGCAGATGCGCCGGGTTAACGGTCGAGACGACATCGTGGGAGCCGATTCGGTTGGCAAAAAAAGAGGAAGCAAAACGCGCTGCTTAGGGATTGTGTTGGATATATGGTTTATTGCATAGCATAGCGGGAGTTAGGGTCTACGGTTCAGACATGGTCACGAAATTGATTGCTCCAGGGTATCTCTCTCAATACAACAAGAATAAAATGCAAAACACCTGACGCCATTCCTTCCAATGCAATAGCAACATCATGTGCTCACCCAACTATCCATCCGTGAAATATCCCCAGTCTCAGGCTTGCCATTCGGCTTTTCTTCTGGTTTTGAATGATTCTCTCCACTTCTTGATGCAGTTGTCCGTCGCCAGAGATCTCTTTCGCAGTTGATTATCGGCGGCAACTCGAGATTCAACGACACCTTCGACCTGGATGTCTTCAATTCCACATCCGGCCCAGCTCCCGAATCAATCTCCATCGGCGCCGCCATCCCGGCCACAGTCGTGTTCTTCGGTGACTTCTTCGCCAGCGCTTTCACCGTCTTCTCGAACATACTATCCATGCTCTCCATTCGCCGTCCCCACAGCTTCTTTTCCTGCCCTGTGGATCCAAGTTGGTTATCCTGAAACGCGGCACGAGCCAGCTTCCGTAGAGCCTCCTCTCCATGTCGGCCATCCTCTGTCGCGCGCTCACGGATTTTCCTTGGATCTGATTCTCGTTCCGTAAACACAGCCGTATGGCGGTAGGTGTGTTTGCTCGGAAATTCGGGGAAATGTTTCGGGATATGCGCGCTCCTGGCACGGTCGTCTTCGCCGCTGAGCTGCGGGCCGAGGAAGGATATACCTTTGAAGGAATCTTCTTCTGGCGGGGGACTCGGTAAGAGTGTCGGGGTCGGTTCAGCGGTAGGAGATTTGAGGTAGGGAAGGAGATCATCGGGAGACAGGTGGTTTCGTGTCAAGGCGTGTTCGAAATCCTGCGGAATAGGCTGTATCCGTCGACTACTAAGCATCGACTGATGCACGTAGGAAACAAACGTAACGAGATCTGTCACAACAAACCAAGTCAATCCAGCTATCCAAATACATCCCATATCCCTAGAACCAAAACATAACCAACATACACTCTTCAGCCGCACTGCGAAACCCATCCATCGCAACCGGCTCAGCCAAATCAAACCCACTCTCCCTGAGCGATACCCCAATAGCGCGATTCATTAAATGGTCCACAGCGGCATTATCAGCGATAGCGGGCTCCGCGAGCGCCGGCGTAACGGGATTCTGGAATTGGTGCCTGTGGTGATATGGACGCTTCAGGCGTTTGGAATCGGGGCCTTCGGTTGGTCGCTCTGATTGCGACGAGGAGGAGCGTTTTATGGCTGGTTGCGAATCGAGCATTCCGATTCTTTGGGGTGGTAGAAATTAAAGGTGGGTGAAGCTGCAGTTGTTGTACATACTCCGTAGGAGAAGTGAGAGTCGAAGCTCAAAACGCGGTTGGTCACGTGTTAATGCCTGAGGCCACAATACACAATCGAAAAATGACCTGGGATAGACAATATTTACTGTATAAAGAGAAAGAATTCTAACTCATAGTCAATAATAACACAACAATAACTAAAGCGTAACTAAGTAGTTCTGTTTTCTCTGCAGTCCAACCACAAGCGCTGCTTACTGTACACCCGGCGGAAACCAATCCAACCTCAACTTTCCATCATCGCTGGACTCCCGCCCGCCTCGCCTGCCTTTTCCACTCCCTCCCACGTCCCAAACCACGCCGTTCGCCAGCTTCCCTCCGTCCTCGCCCTGAGTCGCTTGCTCACATCCTTTTTTGCAATGGCCTCCGCTATTCCTCCCATTACCGGCGTATGTTTCCCTCCCCCTCTCCCAACCGGATTGGGTGATCAGCCCACGGGTTTTGCTCCCGACATAGACATGGAACTGTCAGGGTCCATTTCGGCTTCAATGACTGACTAGTCTTACTAGATGCTCCGCCGGGGTCTCGTGCTTGACCTGAGTACCGCTTTTGGTGAGTTTATCTTTTGACTCTGAACCCTCGAAGTCGCATCGCACGCACGAATCGCCGGGAACGCGGATGTCTGTCAGTCGGATATCTCGCACAAGGCAGAATACACAAGACACAACACACGAACACCAATTTGCGAAAATGATGGATGAGTGACTAACTTGTCAGGTTTCGGTACCACCTTCGGTTATCTCTGGTGGTACGGTACGTACATCAATCACCTCAATGCGAAAGAACAACGGAACACCCTCTAATAACTGCAGGCTTCCACCTCGAGCGCGTCCGCGAGCGTGACACCTACTACGCCAAGCTCGACCAGGAGCGTGCCTCGCAGAAATAAATTCGTCTTCGGTCCTAGTCAACCGTTTATGGCAATGTTGGTGGATCGTTTCAGAATTTGTCGATACTATCAATAGCATGGAATAAAGTTGTTATGTTCTGATCCACGGGTCGACTAGAGGTTGGACTTGTATATATGTACCTCTACATCTCGAACTTGCACCCTGCAACAAGTTTATCCGGACCACTCTAGCAGTCAGTTATTGTAGCTCGTAAGAATCTATCCAGTCGCTAATTATCATATACACGTGCGTATCATATCGTAATGCTCCCATGTCCGGCATCTACCGCAGCACACGTTCAAAGTCGTTCCCCCTTATCGAACCACCAGCCATTGAGCTCCGCACATGTCGCTTAAACGAATCGCGGTTCGTACGCAAATCTTCCGCAGCCTCTTTATTCAACGGATCGGACGCATTTGGTTCAAGGAACAGAAACTATATCAACCCATTAGCACCACCTCAATCTCAGCCCATCCCCAGTAAAAAGAAGCTCACCTGCATCCCCACGATAACCGCATTCAAGTTCAACACGGGCTTCCAATCCTCCCTCAAAATATTCAAACAAACATTCCCCTCAAGATCAATATTCGGATGATAAATCTTCTGCGTACATTTAACCTTTGGCGGATCATGCGGGAAGTTCTGGTTGACAGCAAAGGTGAAGTGAAAGACTCCGCCTTTGTACATTCCCTCATCGGGCTCGATGGTAAGCGTGAAGTTGAGGATGTCGTCGGGGTTGGGGAATGACATTTTCATGGTGCTGCCGAGGGTGAGTTCTTGGAGGTCTGCATCATCATCGTAACCATTGCCGTTAGCGTTCTGTTGTCTCCCATGGGTCTTTGAAGGGATGATTGGGGAAGATGAGGAGGGGTTACCTCGCTGAACACGCAGCTGCGCGGGAGTGACCTTCTTCTTCTTCTTTCCTGCTGCGGCGTCTGCATTTTCAGCTTGTTGCTGTTGTTGTTTCTGTTCCTGTCAGTATCGACCGTGGTGGATTGACGCAGGTAAAGAAGGCTATACCATCGACCAGATCTTCAACATCTTGAATCACACCTTGTCTCCGGGACGTGGACTTCTCCGATAATTCACGACAAGAGGGTATCTAAGGTGTGTAGTATATAGTACAGTGTCGAGAAAAGTCGAGTACCGCGTTGGAGGACGGAGGGAGTTGGAGTCTGGCGGGGTTGTCGCAAGTGGGCAAACAATTCTCAGCGATGAGTCTGTCAGAACGAAGGCTTATTCTGCGCGCAATACACCACTATAAGACAAAAACACGACTGGAAAATGCAAAGCAAGCCGAAACCAGCAAAGGAAAAATGTCAGCAAGTCTGGCAGCCAAAGGCGGAAAAGCCTGACGCCATCGCCACTCCTACAATCTAACATGGTAGTGAAGCATAATGCATTGCTCTAACCGCTAAAAAACAAACGTCAAATGCTTTCACCGTGGTCCCTGCAAGAAATAAAAACAATCCAACTTCAATCAATGAAAAGCACACTGAGAAAACAAAAAAAAAAAAAAAAAATATGTAGGTAAAAAGGTGTAGCAGTCGACAATCAGTGAACGAGCATCGTATGTAAAGTACAAAAATCGCGACAAAAATAAAACCAAGAATGACTCCTCGAGAAAACGAGAGTCGGTCTGATCTTCTTTCGTTCCTTTCCCCATCTGCATCTACCGTCTGGCAAAACAGCACATAATACCCGTTTTACCCAAGAACCAGCAGGCTCCGATGAAACGGACCAGGGCGACAGCTGCGTTCGACCACAGCAAGGCTTGGAAGAAACGCTGGGTCCGATCGGTAGCAGTGTTCTATAATCGTTAGTTTTTTTTTGTCTTGTCACAAGAGAAGATAAATAGAAGCTTACCGTAAAACCAAACTTATCCACACCGTCACTGGTGATGCAAACCGCCATGAGCGCGTTACTGAAGATCCAAAAGGTCACAAGTCGTGTACGGAAACTCTTGTAAGAGTCGTCCAAGCTCTTCTCCTCGTGCTCAACCGGCGCAACATACGGAGTCAGCGCGCGCTTCACCGTGGCTTCGAACTGACTGTCGATATCGGCTTGGGGCTTGTCGATTTCCTCAATCACTGCATCCTTACCACCATCCTTGGTGGTCGTGACGGACGGCAGAGCATCGGCCTTGTCGGAACCCTTGGTACCCCACGAGACGTCGTGCCAGTTGCTGAAGGCATACACGTTTAGAATGTTGATGTAGGAGGACTGCACACCCATGTAGGCCGGGAACGAAGTGAACATGTGCCATGGGTCCAGGTACATGAACGATGCAACAAAGTAAAGACCAAATGTGGCGGCAAGGGCGATAATGATGATACCAGCACCGCTCGAGGAGAAGAACGACTTGAGGAACCCACCCAGACCGTTCGAGGTGTCAAAGTCCATCGCATCCTGTCCGGTGAAGGCATGAATCACCAGGTACAAAGCATCGACAACCACATAGATCTGGATGACACCGAAGACAATGAAGGAAGCCAGGTAAGAATACCTGGATCCCTTGGGACGGTTACCCAGGGCGAGGATAAATTGCAACAGCAGGAAACCAAGATAGCCGTATTTGACGATCGTGTTGACAATGGGAGTCGCGGTGGCACCAAAGGGGAAACCCTTATGACCATTGCTATCGCTGGGGGTACCGACCAAGTCCATAATAACCGTTGTCGTGAGCCAGTACGATGCAAGAGAGAACCAAGTCAAAAACGTGTTGAAGATGTTGTACAACATCTGAATGTGCAAGAAGAACATGCGAATAATGTTATGCCCACTCTTGTACATCCGACCAAAGTGCATGAGCGAATAGATACCGGCTGCGAACGAACCGTTCAGCCAACGACGACGCTGGGAGATGAATTCCGCAGCACCCTCGGGCACGTCAGTCTCACCCTTGGAGGCTTTGACATACGACAGATGCCACTTTGAACCAGCTTTGGCGACCAATTCGAAACAGAGAATACGATCTTCGGCCAAGAACATGTTCTTCTTGAAAATGTTCATGCCCTCGATACCCTTCTTACCCAACTGCTTGGAAAGAGTGTGATCACCGTGGAAATATTGCTCCAGAGGACGACCCATGATGGCCCGGAAACGGTAGGCAGAGAAGGCACCGGGCAAGACACTGACATAACCAAATGAACTCTCGAGAGGTTTGTCAAGAATGTTACTGATCTTGTACTCAAAGTTCTGAGCAGCGACCAAGGGGTTAATCAGGTTCTTCCAACCCTTACCCAACATGGCGTGGATTTCACCACAAGCACCTCCCAGGTCCTTGTCGTTATAGAAGGCCTCCCAGAGGGCGAGGAGGGACTTGTGGCCGGGCTTGGTACCAGCATCCAGCAGAATGACCACCTCGGGGTTTAGAATGCGACCAAAGGCGTTGAACAACCATCTGTGCGAGTTGATCTTCTTGCTGTTCTTCTGCTTCAAACAGAACATCATCTGCACGGGCGGGAGGGTACTCGGGCCGTCGTCGGTGGGTCGAATCAGCTGCTGATTGGGAGTCACCGACAATTGAGTCGTATATTCAAACTAAAACGGTCAGTGTCTGAATCAGAACCGGGGGGAAGAGAGAACATACGATATGCGCCTCGGTCTGCTTTCCATCGACGTCACGCTTCATGACACCATCCTGGTAGATACCAACGGTGGCCAGCACATCCAGCGTATCCTTGTCGCAGGGATCGATACCGTCAAAGACCAAGCAGACGACAATCTTCTGCCAGGCGGGACCACCTTTGTTCCAGAACTCAGACTTTTTGATGTTGACAATCTCACGGATGTTCTGCATGACACCGTGGAGGGTACGGGCGGTGAGGGTCTTGTCTTCGTTATAGTAGGTGATGGCGATGAGCAACTCGGTATGACGGTTGTACATGGCGGGACGGAGGTTGTAGCCATTGTGCAGGGTGAACTCGTTGGGATCACAGGTGGCCGCGGTGTCTATCAATTGTTAGTCTTGTTCCAAGTGTTTGTTGGAAGATAACCAAACGTACATCGCATGTGGGTGAATTCCTCGCTGCCACCCTCGAGGTCGTTGCGGTACTTGGCCTGGATGGCATTTTGGATGGCACTGGGGGCGGGGTAATCGACACTCAGGACGGAGCCCTGGACCAGCTTAACCTTTCTGGTCGCATAACGTCTCAGACCACCGCCGCCGCCGCCGCCGCCGCCGGAGCCGGAGCCACCGGGGGCCTGTCGTTGGCGCCATGCCTCGGTGGAGGAAGTCTCGCTACGAGCGTATGGGGAAGCCACACGACCGGGCACACCAAAAGCGGCGGCAGGGTTGTCGGCGGAGTGACCCGAGTAGACGGAGCCAGCGCTGTAGGGATCGTTGAATGAGGCCTCGGGAGCGTAGGTTTCGGTCAGACTGTAACCTGAAGTAGGGCGCGCGGGAGACAAGCTGCGTTGGTGGGAGTCGTCGAACGGGCCCTGGCTGGAGAGCAGGCCATGGGCAGCTTCTTCTTCGTGTTCGTGGCCAAACTGAGCCCGTTAGTAATCACTCTTCGAATGTTCCCCGGGGAGAGATTGCAACTCACTTCGGCGGAGGGAATGTCCTGAAGGCGATGGCCGGCATCATCATAATTGATGGGTGACTGCGCACCCGAGCCGTGATAGGCCATGGCGTAAGGGGGGGCAGGGGATTAATTAAGCGTAAGACAACGTAGACACGCACACAGAACAAAGTGCAGAGCGCAGCGAAAATTCTTTTCTGTCTTTTAGCGGTGGGAAAGTGGCCACCGAAGCAAGCACGAAGCGGAAAGGGGAGTGAAAGAAAGAAAGAATTGAGGGGGTATCCGAAAAAAACAGAGCAACCGCGTCCTGAATAAAAGAAAACACAGCAAGGCGGGTATCAACAGCAAACAGAGAGAGGATGCAGGAAAATGCAGATGCAGAAACAGCAGTCAGCAGTGGTATATCAACTGCTATCAATCTCCAAGAGGCAAAGTAGAGCCGTGGATCTTTTGCGGAAGGAACGAAAAGTCGATCCGAAGAGAAGCCGCCAGGGCTGAGCCTGAGAGAGAGAGAGAGAGAGAGTACTGTAGTTAGAACAAAATACTCCCAGCGATGGGAGAGGAAAGAAGAGAAGAAAAAAAGATAGAAAAAAGATGAGCGATGGAAGATGAATGGAAGGAGGAGCGAAACTTTTTTTAGGCCAGTTTGCTTTTAGTTAGTCTCTCCTAAACGCCTCTTTCTTGACGGCGTTGGCGCCAGTAGTGGACCGCGTTAAAGCGCACTGCCGTTCTTTTTTTATTATTTGTCTATGATTGAATCAGTTACAGTACTCTGTACTAGATGTTGAGCAGATACATCAGGAGTCTACGTTTTCTGTATGTATGTCTGTATCTGATGCCTGTACTTCAAGGGGATTTTCCGGGTTCTCTTTTTTCCGCCTTGCCACTATACAAGTACAACTGTATATACAGGTACTCTGTACAAGATACTCTGCTGCAGTTGCTGTTCTCTTCAATTCTCTCCGTTCAATTCTCAATTTCATTTCAATGTGTGCTGTCAACTGACTCGATCCATCAGGGTCTGTGGCTGGAAAATGGTCTCATCTGAAACATTCAATGCGGTGTGGGTGGCGGTATTTTATTCCCTCTCACACCCCATAACAGCTGTACAAGTAGATCTATAACTCCATTCGAACTGCCACTGTAGTTGTAGTCATGATTGAGATAGAAAAAGCAACATTACCCTAGTTAGTTAGAGGACATACTGACTGAGAACAATTGGTATAGGGTACTCTGTATCGTAATTACACCATCAGGGTTCTCGGAGTTCATTCAGGGGTATGCTGATCCCAAAAAAGTCAAGACCCAGTTAAATATAGCCTTGTGGAATCGGTTCCAGACCGCCCACCAACAGTTGGCCAATCACTGCCTTCACAACATGAGCCAAGGCAAATCTTTAATTCGGTCCGCAGCCAATCACAGAGCGGTGTGGCAGTGATGTTTCACTTTTATACTGGCAGTAACCCACCGCTTTCCAGATTTCATGACTGGTACGGAAGTTACCGCTAAGACGAGATTGCTATTCTTAGCTTGTCACCCTGATGGAGATGGTGAGAACACGGAGCTGCCCGATGGAGAAATAGCCGTTGAGCATAAGACAATTGTGTAGTGGGCGATCAGGATATAGTATCAAACAAAAGTATGGATACTCTGGCAGTGCAGTTCTGCGCATGTACATGTACGGAGCATGTACGGAGTAACTGTAGGTGTACGGAGACTCCGACTCGTATGCATGTACAAGTCGAGGATATATATCCGCCATGAATCTGGAAGATTCAATATACAACTACTGCACACAGCTGCACACAACCGCATACAGCTCTACTGGGGAGACATGCACAGTGCAACGATAATCCCGATAGACACGGGAATCCGACTATCACGGTCTATTGATATAGCCGTCGATATATTGTGTCCGTACCCACCTGCCTACTATAGAGTGATTATCTGATCTCTCCGTACCCCGTACCCCGTAGATATAAATGTATTCTCCAACCTCCAAATTGTATATGAAGTGGAATATATGAATCCAGTCAACACATCTGTATATTTTCTGCTCTGTACAGGACTCTACCAGGTTCTACCATAGCACATCCTCCTCGTTCTCATCTCTTGTGCTGATCTGATTGGCGCCAACGGAATGTAATCTCCGGTGTAGTCCAGGCCCAAGATATTTCCTCCACGCACTGGAGCGGAGACTACTCACAAGTACTCTGAACAGTGTCCCAGACTGATGTACTGAGTACTCTGTAGAGACATCGTCTAGCTATGATAGAGGCTTAGATCCAACAATGTCTACTATGTATCCATGTCTTCATATATATTCATGTAGTTGTGTAGTATTTGTGTTATGACAGTCACCTGACCTGTGGCATTAATGTCCGCACAGCCGAAACTCCTCATTCTCCCGTTTTGTCTCGTCTCATCTCCTCTCCTCTCCCTCTTTTCTTTTCTCTCTCTCTTTCTCTCTCTCTCCCTACCCTCTTCTTCTCTACCCTGTATTGCCTTATTTGCTCCATCATATCGCTATCTCTTCTCACCTTCTCTCGTTCACCAACGTCTGGGCCAAGGAGGTCTCCCTGATTGACGCGTGGCTCTCGACCGTCAACCCACTCTCCTCTCTCCACCAACCATCTCGGCCACTTCCGTTTCCTCTGGTCGAGACCACGCATGGACAATACTTCCCTTCTCTCTCCGCCGTGAATTCCGTCCTCCCTTCTCGACACTCCAGACTATGACCATCGCTGCCTTATCCCATTCCAACTATCTTCTCTCGTTCGCCTAAGAAGTCTCGCCTTTGATGATCTAACCTTACGCTCCCGACTTGACGTCTGCTGCGCCCATTACGCTCTTTTAATCCACGCTACTATCCACTGTTTACATTCGTTACGCCGTTGACCGGCCGCCGCTCGCTACTGTTACGATTTTTCTTCCATCGTTTACTTTCTCGTTTTCCATCATGTCTTTCGATACCTCTCCTAACGGTATGCTATTCTTTACCAGGCAGTAAGAATGAATCTAACTAACAGAACAGTCTTTTCTGCACGAGATATCTTCAAGCGCTGCGTCAAATGTGAAAGCGCAGCTCCGTCATGTCCCGCCTGCGATGAAGGCTACACATGTACCATGATCAGCCAGTCCTGCGACCAATGCGCTACCACCAAATGTATCCAAACCTCCTCCTCCAGCTTGTCCTCGTCTGGCAACAGTGGCTCTTCAGGCGGTAACAATGCCGGCGCTATCGCTGGCGGTGTTATCGGTGGTCTCGCTTTCGTTACAATCGTCGTCGGTTTGATCTGGTGGTTCTACATGCGCAAGAAAAAGAGCAGCAATGAGTACAGCTTGGGTGGATCCAGCGTACAGGAGAAACGCACTGCCAACGCCCAAGGATCCAGAAAATCCACCAATTCCATCGCTTCCACCGTCCTGACCCGCGCCTCGAATGTCATCCAGATCGCCTACATCCCTGGTGTCACCAACCGATCCCCACCCGACACGCCCTCGCTCGTGCCACCCGTCCCCCCGCTCCCCGGTGCGGCCCCCGATCAACACTTCTTCATGCCAGGCGACCTGCGCGACTCATCGTTCACTGAAATGTCCAACGATCGCCGTAGTGGCGCCCCCAGTGTCTCCCCTAGCTTGCGCAGCAGTGTGGCTACCACCATCTACCGCAACAACGCCATCGTCAGCCCGATGCCCGCCCAACAAGTCATGCGCACCCGTGCCGCCGTCGTCAGCATCCACGGAAACCAGCCTACGGAGACGGCTACCATCACCCCCCCGGATGCGCCAGCGGTGCCTGCCATTACGCCGGCACAGCTCGCCAAGGCAGGTGTCACGAATGCAAACAACGGCGGCGACAACAACAGCTCTATTGTGGCACGGCCAATGATGGCTAAGCCTGTCATGGTCAAGACCGTGGGTGGAAAGAAGAAGGACAACAACAACGCTACTCCAGCGGTTCAAGCCATCGAGGAGCGATCTGAACCCAGCTCGAGTGCGCCAGTTTCCCGCTCCGCCAGCACCAAGCAACAAGCCGATCCTGCCGCTTCTGGCTTTGACGATAGCTCTGATGAGGAAGACGAACCTTCTGGCAAGGGTGCCAAGGCCACCAAATCCACTGAGCAACCTCCAACAGTGGCTGAAGCTTCGGAAGAGCAAGGCCCGTTCACTGACCGTGCGTCGACTCACCTAGAGACCCACGACGGGCCTGGATCGAACCGAAGCAGCAGGACACCACCTGCACGAGTCGAGAGTCCATTTTCCGACGCGAACGAAGTGCGATGAGTCGGATTGTATCGTTGATTGATTTTTTCGTTTCTTTTCATATCTTCTCTCCTTTTCTTTCTGCATATACCCTGATTTTGATCTTCGTACACGTGTTTGTCTCTACTGGACCGATGAATGGCGCAAAAAAGAAATCCTTGAAGTTTTCCTTCTTACCTGATTTATATTGATCTCTTTCTGATTTACGACCCCCTTTTTCTTCCTTTTATCCCCCGTCTTTATTTCTGATGCCCGCCGCCTTTGAGGATCAAAATCGTTCCGTTCCAGTATAGCGTTGACCATGTGATCGTGATCGTGTTGAGTTGAATATATAGTGAATGGAGGTTCTGTCTTTTCTTACTGCAATCGAATCGCGACGTATAAATTCGGGTATCTATCTACTTTGTACTAAACAATTGCATATATAAAACAACCCCGAAAACAAAAAGAAAAAAAAAAATACTAAACTCCCTCACACCCCAACCCCACCGCAACTTTCCTCCCTAACGCCCTTTTAAGAAACGCTTCCCTCGCCAACCCCCGCGTATGTCTCGACCACGTCTCAACTCCAATAACACCCTTGACAAGCGCAACCTGCAGTGCGTAGATAGCTTGCTGGATCCCCGCTTCCTCGGCGACGAGGTCGTAGAGTTGTTTTCCGACGACGGTGGGGGCAACGAGGATTTCGTCGATGGGGGGGAGGCCTTGGACTTGGACTGCGGCTGATGTTGATGCTGTGCCGGTGGTTGAGGGGAGTGGAGATGCGGAGGTAGATGTTGGGGACGAAGATCTGGTGGAGAGACGGGTTTGGGCGTCTGCGATGACGGTGTCTGCGTTTTGGAGGGAGTGTTGGAGGATAGAAGTGTTTGATTGGAGGGTTCCATTGAGCGAGTTTAACGAGGAGATCTCGGCTTGCAAGGTCGCGATTGCGTTATGCAGGGAATGGGACTGGGAAGTAAGTGAGTGGGCGGCTGATTCGGATTGCGAGATGTTTGATTGGATTGTTTCAGCTAGTGTTTTGGAGACTGACTTGACGAGGGCGTCTTTCTCGGGGTTTGGAGGGATTGGCGGGGCCGGTCCTGTGGGTGTGAAGGAGGGGAGTTCCAGTTCGAAGGGTGAGGTGAGAAGATCTGGTGCGGGTGCTGGTTGTTTTGGTGCGGTTTGTGCTGGTGCGGGTGCTGGTGTTGGCATCGGTTGTGTGGTTGGTATTGCTTGTGAAAGCTGTCGCTGATGAGGCATGGGAGAGTGTGGATATGGAGCAACGGGCTGTTTTTGGTAGGCAGGATGACGGGGTATCTGCTGCGGTGGGTATTGTCGCGGCGGTTGTTGCCAGCCAGAATTCTGCACAGGACTAACTGGAGTGCCGTTGGAGTATGCTGGTCCAGCCATGTGCGGTTGTTGCGGCACTCGATATGGACTCGCCATTCCGCCAGGACTCATACCTATCTGAGGAGATAATGATCGTCGTCGTGCTTGTTCCTCTGGCGGTAATGGGGGAAGAGGCGGGGGAGAGTTGTATCGTCCTGCTGGAAATGTCTGCTGTTGCTGCTCAGCAGCTACCATTTGACCTGGCTTTGGAGGCGGCGGAGGTGGAACTTGAGCTTCCGGTCTGGGCGAGGGCACGCTCTGCGTCGTCGACGGACCGAATCCGGGTGGTAACGGAGGCACAGGCGGTGGTGTAGGCATTGATTGTGGTTGTGACTGCTGTATCGGGTGTTTATACTTAACGGGCGGTTCGGTTGCGAAGACGTCTCGTAGGATGCCCAGAAGGTCGGCGATTGTAGATCTCTATAATAGATTGTCAGCTTGAAAGCTTTGATTTCTGAATAATATCACTCACATCCCATGCCTCCAGCCAGTGCGCCAAGTAGTGATGGTATACCCTCCCCTCCAACGTCACATGCTGCCCGACGCGGACCACCATATCGTTCGTTGGAGTCACGTACACAATTGGCGGCTCGCGAGGGTATGCCGTGGGAATCCATAGTGCGACTGGGAATTTGTATAGCGTTCCGCGAAAGGGGACAGGTATTGTCCCCGCGATGAGGAGAAGCAGCGTGGAGAAGCCGGTTTCGTAGGCTACACATGAACCAGTTAGTGATCCGTTTGTTGACTCCCAGGTACAATATAGAGACTCACTATAGACATCGGTTCGCGGAGAAAGGGAGGGATATTGGGCTAGTGTATTAGCGACATCGTAGTAGGTTCGGTTGGGATCCTGATATGTCTGCTTGGGGTCGTAGTGGTCCTGCGGGGTCAGCAGTGTCGCTGTAGAGGAACTGGATAGAGATAAATACCCTTATCAGAATACTGTAAAGCCAGTTAAGTGTTCTCTGGGGCACTGCCGCCATGTCGAGGGTGAAAGTGTAGGAGAGGAAGAAAGCAGTGGTGATGTCGAGTCCGATGGTTGTTGATAGTCACGGTGTGGCTCCGCACCGCCTGTGGCTGGAGATATACAGTCCAGTAATCTGAGTACGATAATCTATACAAGAAATCTATCAAATGTTCTTCAACTGGGATTAGCTGCTTGTAGAGTAGAAATTGAATAATTCCCTGTAGTCTGCGATAGTACTCTGTATCCTGTAGGATGATGACAAATCCTATCTACAAAAGCACGATAAAAATGCACTCTGCATCCCCTCATCCTCACTGACCCGTATTCAATATGCTGGTAGTCGCAGTTGCTGGAGGTACTGGCGACGTCGGACAGACAATTGTAGACGAGCTGCTCAGGGTCGTCAAGTTCAATATTGTCGTATTGACCAGGGAGAATTCTGAGGTAAATCCTGTCCAGTAACTATGGTTGGTCTATTCTCACCATCACAGTCGCAGAAAAGGCAAACCCAAGATGGCACTGTGTCAATTGCAGTAAATTACAATGATGTCGGTTCTATCGCTTGTCGGCTTGAGGAGAATGCCGTCCATACCATAATTTCCACCCTCCCCATGACCTCGGAAGAGTGCAGTCAATCGCAGGTCAATCTCATTCGCGCAGCGGACAAGTCAACTTGTACTAAGCGATTCATTCCTAGTGAATATGCCCATATCAATACGCCGGGGTGAGTCTCACAAGGCTGGGAGTCATGAACATCCTAATTGTTAATTGTGTTGACCTAAGCAGACTCCTGGAGTTAGATCCTACAACACAATGGTGGCTTGACGCCGTCGACCGTCTCAAGCAATCCAACTTGCAGTATACTCGCTTCGCAACCGGCTTTTTCATGGACTATTGGGGCATGCCGCATGCCGAAACTCATCTCTCACCATTCACATTCGGCATTGACATGCAAAATTGCCAAGCTGCAATCCCCGGAGACGGGAACCATCATCTGAGTCTGACTTATTCAAAAGACTTAGCGAAGTTCGTCGTCCGGACTCTGGACTTGAACGAGTGGTCGGAATTCAGCATTGTCGTTGGGGACGATATCACGTTCAATGAAATGCTGCGCTTAGTAGAAGAGACTCGGGGTGAGTAGCTATACGATAGGCATGCGAACTATTGGCTAAACCACGCGCAGGTCAAAAGTTTCAGGTCACCTACGACAGCGTCGACAGCCTCAACGAAGGAAAGGCCACAATGCTTCCTATTCCCGAAGGTGCTCCGTTTTCAGCGGACGAGATGACAGAGTACAACGCATTATTCGGACAGTTTACTATTCGAGGGATCTTCCATGTCCCTATGGAGAATCGATTGAAGTTCCCAGACTTGAAGCCGTCGACGTTTAAGGAATTTCTGGGTAAAACTTGGGGAGGCCGTTAATGTGCTTTGTGTATTGTGTCAGATATTGGAAAGTGTACATATCAAACTACCATAGAACGAATGATTGGAAACGACAACCAATCGATCGAAGGTGCCGATACGGTGCTAATTGAACATAATATGCATGCCAACAGACTCGAGCATAGGAGAAGATGAAGCCGCTATACTCAAAGTGAACATGACAATCCACATATATCCCATTGTAACGAACAATTTAACCATCAACCTGACCTTCCTTGGTCCCCAGCATTGGCCGTTGTCCCCAGTTCGTCTCTTACCGCTACCAAAGCAAGACAGCTGCCCACGTCAATGAGGCTGCTCACTTGATAAATCCTGCGCCATACATCAATGTCCCTAGTGTCTCATAATACTTTAGTGTGTATACTTATGTTGATATGGCATTGGGGGTATCTGCAGAAAATCCCCCCCCCCAGTAGATAATGAAGCATCCCCGGTCCACCTTTGGAAGGCTAGCTATTCTGGCAAAGAAGGACATGTATGGCTTGATGCACTGTCCAATGCTTGCTTTTGTTCATTGAGCCACTTGTGATGAGCATCACTCATCTCCAGCTTTACTGTTTAACAGGTAGAGGGGCCCCCTTTTCCTCCGCCAGCAAGAAGCTGCAGGGCTTTGAGAGCTGATATCCGTTCAGAGATGTGCCTTTCCGAAAAGAAGCATGTCCAGTAGTTGTCAGAAATGCGAAAAGTATAGCTGTGTTGAGACATGTTTAATGAATTTGTCCGCACATCCACTCCTGCGAAGTAGTGAGGGTTACCCACGAAGCACCGGATGGTGACTTTGATCTGGACAGTATGCCAGCATTGAAATAACACAGCTGCAACGGAGGGAGCTTTACAGTGTCGGTATGATGCGGTAATGGGGCCGGCCATAGCCCATGCTGAATTCGGCCGGAAGTGGGGTTTTTATTCCATTTTGATGAATGAGAGATTATTGAAGAGCATGGGCAAGGAGCAAAGATAGGATAAGAAGAAAAGAAGGAAGAGACCGGGAAGGCGCTTCATTTGAAAGTGAATTGACCCGATTCCGAGTGAATGACGGGCTCTAGATTCCAAAAAAAAATTTCCAAAAAAATTCCGAAGTTGCTTAGCATGTCTCGGTTTCGATCCGAGGACCTCCGGGTTATGAGCCCGGCGCTCTTCCCCTGAGCTAACATGCTTATTTGTTGAATTGTAATTCATAGGGAAATTATATAAACAAAAACCATGCATTCCAAAGTTCTCCTAGGTTTTCAACGCTATAATTGAGTCAGACGGGAGGTCTTGGGCTGTTTCGCTAGCCCCGATGTTCTTCTCAAGTTTCTAAATCATTATGCCTACGAGAATAGCCTTTTTATGTAGGGTGATACAGTTATATATACCATAGTTAACATGCCGAGTATTTGATAGACAAGTGCGGTTACCTCACAAAGGGACATTGGCCTGTACATGGTTCTCTTTGACCATAGAAAGGCTTGTTTCAACGTGCTATCTATAATCAAGTCACTTGAAAAATTATAACACTTCTCGTCTTGAAAATAGTACATAACATCGTTGTCCTGATTGGGCAATATACTTGTAGAGGGACCGGAGAGCTCTCGCCGCCGCCGAAAAAAAGTTCGTCGCCGACCCCGCCGCGATAGTCCTTCTGCAAACAATTTCGTCGCTTCATTTTCTTCCTTTTCTCTACCGGATCCTGCATTGGCGACATCGCTTACGCGCGATTATTTCAAGATACTTTCAGTTACGGAAAGCTTGATCTCTGACTCAAGCTCCTGTGACTCAGCGGCGTGTCTTGCCGCCGTCGCGAACTGCCATCCATCTTTAACCCTGCCATGATCGACTATTCTTGACGGCGATGCAGCCCTCGGAAGGTGCGCAAGTAGACCTGGGCAAGGCCCAGGTCATTGACCGGGCCCCCAAGGTCATTAAGGAACTCAAGTTTGGTGTTATGTACGTTACTGGTGCTCCCTCTGTTTCGACTTTCTCAGTCCCCGACAGTTTGCTAATGTTTGCTCGCCTCATCCAGGTCCAATGATGATATCGTTAGTCAAGGCGTCGTCGAAGTCTCGGACCGAAAATTTTTCGACCTCGAACACGATAGAGCGGTAGTGCCTCATGGTCCTCTCGATGGGCGCATGGGTATCTCGAACAAGAGCGGAACCTGTCAAACGTGTGGTTTGTCTCTCCAGGCATGCAACGGCCATTTCGGACATGTGAGACTCGTTTTGCCGGCTTTCCACGTTGGTTATTTTAAGCGTGTTATCGGTATTCTACAAGAAATTTGCAAGGAATGTTCGCGTATTCTGCTCCCCGAAGCTGAGCGCCGTTCTTACTTGCGGGAGATGCGCCGTCCCGGATTGGACAATTTGCGACGACTACAAATTGCGAAACGTATCAATGAGCGCTGTCGGAAGACCAGAACCTGCGAATCATGCGGTACGGTCAATGGTGTCGTCAAAAAGGCAGGGACCAGCGCGCTCAAAATCACCCACGACAAATTCCGTGCCTTCAACGCTTCGGCATCCGCGAAGAAGGTCCCGCCCCCGAGCAAAATCGTGTTCGATCGGTCCTTCGACGTAGCTCGCTCGTCCAATGCCGATGTCGAAAAACACTTCAAGAAAGCGCAGGATGATATGAATGCTCTACGGGTCTTGAACCTATTCAAGAAAATCTCAGATACCGACTGTGAATTGCTGGGACTCAATCCGAGCGAAGCGCGTCCCGAGATGTTTCTCTGGCAGTTCATCCCCGCCCCTCCCGTTTGCATTCGTCCATCAGTCGGCCAAGACGCTGCTTCCACTGAAGACGACTTGACTGCTAAGCTGGGAGATATCGTGCAGAGTAATATCAACCTTAAGAATGCCCTCCTCAAGGGCGCACCGGTACAAACCATCATGGAGTGCTGGGACTACATGCAGCTCCAGATCGCGGTCTACATCAACAGCGACGTTCCAGGGCTGAACAAGGCAGATTTGGGAAAGCCTATTCGCGGTTTTGTGCAGCGACTCAAGGGTAAACAGGGTCGATTCCGTGGTAATTTGTCTGGAAAGCGTGTGGATTTCTCGGGAAGAACCGTCATTTCTCCGGATCCGAACCTGCGAGTCGACGAAGTCGCCGTGCCGGAGCTCGTAGCTAAAAACATGACTTATCCTGAGCTCGTCACAAGGTATAACAGGGAGAAGCTACAGCAGCGGGTTCGGAACGGGACGAAGAAGTGGCCAGGTGCCAATTACCTGGTGAAAAAGGGCCAGACTTTCAAGGTCTTCCTCAAGTACGGTAATCTTAACATGATCGCCGAGCAGCTGCAGGAAGGTGATCTCGTCGAGCGCCACATTGAAGACGGAGATATTGTGCTCTTCAACCGTCAGCCGTCTCTTCACAAACTGAGTATCCTATCGCATTTTGCCAAGGTTCGCCCGCATAGAACCTTCCGGTTGAACGAGTGTGTTTGCAATCCGTATAACGCAGACTTTGACGGTGACGAAATGAACTTGCACGTGCCTCAAACGGAGGAAGCGAGAGCAGAGGCTATGGAATTGATGGGTGTCAAGAATAACCTGGCCACACCGAAGAACGGAGAGCCCATCATTGCGGCCATTCAAGATTTCATCAGTGCTGCGTATTTAATCACTGTCAAGGACAATTTCTTCGACCGACGCACCTTCACGCAGATCTGTCTCTACATGCTTGGTCCCGAAACCCCCTTTGACTTGCCCCCACCGTCAGTGCTTAAGCCGCAGATGCTGTGGACCGGAAAGCAGGTCTTCAACGTTCTGATGCACCCGAACAAGAAGGACCCGGTGATGGTAAACTTGGATGCGGCCTGTCGACAGTTCAAGGCGCCCAAGGATGGTTCACCTCGAGACCTCGACCCGAAGGATTCTTGGCTTGTCGTCCGGAATTCAGAGGTCATGTGCGGTGTCATGGATAAGGCGACGATTGGTGATGGTAAAAAGGACAACGTCTTCTACATTATGCTAAGAGATTTCGGGCCTGCAGCGGCTGCTGAAGGTATGAATCGTTTGGCAAAACTGTCGTCACGGTGGTTTACGAACATGGGTTTCTCTATTGGTATCACGGATGTCTACCCGAGCGAAAAGCTTCTCAAGTCCAAACACGACTTGGTCGAGACGGCATACGCACAGTGTGATGAAGTCATTGCCCAGTACAAGGCAGGCACCCTGGAAAAGTACCCTGGTTGTGACGAACTTCAGACTATGGAGAACCAATTGTCTGGAATTCTAAGTAAGGTCCGTCAACAAGCTGGTGACGAATGTATTGCTCAGCTTAGCAAATACAACTCGCCCCTTATCATGGCTACGTCCGGCTCCAAGGGTTCAAGTATCAACGTGTCGCAAATGGTTGCCCTCGTCGGTCAACAGATTATCGGTGGTCAGCGTGTGCAGGATGGTTTCCAGGATAGAACTTTGCCCCATTTCCCGAAGAATGCTCGTCAGCCACCATCCAAGGGTTTCGTCCGCAACAGTTTCTTCTCTGGTCTTGAGCCTACAGAGTTCATTTTCCACGCCATGTCTGGTCGTGAAGGTTTGGTCGATACGGCTGTCAAGACTGCTGAAACCGGTTACATGTCTCGTCGGTTGATGAAGTCTTTGGAAGATCTTTCGACCATGTATGATGACACTGTGCGAAACTCGTCTGCAGCTATTGTCCAGTTCCAATATGGTGATGACAAACTCGATCCCGTGGATATGGAGGGTAAAGCCAAACCCGTCCACTTCGACCGGACTTTCATCCACTCCGAGTCGACTACGTACTCTAACGAGGAGCGGAGTTTGCTCCCTGCTGAGATTATGGATGTCTGTGAAGAGATGCTCTCCAAGGAGCGTGCGAAGCTGGACCGGAAAGATTTTATGGGAAAACCGCTGGCCTACATGGAGCGTACTGACCACGGAATCGACCAGTACGAAAGTGCGCGTGATTTCCTAGAGTCAATTCAGGACTACGTATCTACCAAGGCCGACAAACTACTTTCCCGGGGCGGTGACAACGATAGCACCGACGTGAGAAGACAGAAGAGTCTGAGCCACACTGGAAAGTTGACCGAGAGGACACTTCGGACGTTCATTTCGGCCTGCTTGAGTAAGTACAAGAGAGCTCAGGTCGAACCAGGTCATGCCGTTGGTGCGGTCGGTGCACAGTCTATTGGTGAACCCGGAACACAGATGACCCTGAAGACTTTCCATTTTGCTGGTGTTGCTGGTATGAGTATCACTCAGGGTGTTCCCCGTATCAAAGAAATTATCAACGCCTCCAAGGAAATTAGTACTCCTGTCGTTGCTTGTGAATTGGTCACCAAAGACAACATCATTGCTGCTCGAATTGTCAAGGGTCGTATTGAGAAGACGTACTTGCGGGATATCATTCACTACATTCGTGAAGCGTGGACCGGCAAGGAGGCATACCTCACTGTCAAGATTAACTGGAAGACCATCCAGGATCTAGCGTTGGAGCTGAACGTTCGGGATATTCTCTCTGCGATCAAGACTCACCGTCGCTTCAAGGCGGGCGACTTGAAGTTCCGGCACTCGCGATCGCACATCCACATCCACATGGACTTGGACCCAGCCACCAAAACGAACCTCTCCAAGACTGAAATCGCTGCCACCAGCACAGACCCGTTCCTCCGCCTGAAGCATCTGAAGCGCATGCTTCCCGATATCCAGGTCCTTGGCCACCCGCTAGCCAACCGAGCCATCATCCGGACAGACGAGACCTCAACAACCAACACTCTCCTCGTCGAAGGATACGGTCTCCGAGAATGCATGACAACCATGGGTGTCGACGGTCTCAGGACAACAACCAACAACGTCATGGAAGCACGCGACGTACTGGGTATCGAAGCCGCACGAACCACAATTGTCAGAGAAATCAGCGAAGTCATGAAGGACATGGATATTGACCCGCGTCACATGCAGCTCCTTGCTGATGTCATGACCTACAAGGGCGAAGTCCTGGGTATCACGCGATTCGGTCTGGCCAAGATGCGGGACTCTGTTCTGCAGCTGGCGTCGTTCGAAAAGACGGCTGACCATCTCTTCGATGCGGGTGGTGCAGGTCGTACGGATCTTATCGAGGGTGTGTCGGAATGTATCATCATGGGTAAGACGGTCGGTCTCGGTACGGGTGCTATGGAAGTCGTCCGCAGGATGAACTTCTACGAGGGCCAAATCGGACCGAAGAAGACAGTCTTCGAAGATACCTGGTCGGAAGTCTGCGAAGCGCCATTCGAGGCAAAGACCAAGGCGAAGAGGAGAGTCCGCGCTTGATCCATTGAATTGGATTACTGTTCCTGCCTCTAAATGCAGAGAGGGAAGAAGAGAAAAGTTGCATACTCTGGCGTTGGATCTTGTTTTACAATACTACTATTGTTGATTACTGTACATGTACTCCTACTGCTTGCCTTTTGCGCATTAGCGATATTGATTGATTGATGATAGGATGGATGTCTGTTAGTCTGTTTATATATTGAAAATGGTCATAATAGTTACAGCATTTCTAGCAGCCCATTTTATTTGTATACCTAGTCAATAATCGAAGATATATCCGAAAAGATGCCGCATATTAAATATATATAGACCCGACAAAGCAAGGGAGGTATACATCATTTGATAATGCCATACTGATTCACCCTTGAATTCAGTCTACTACGTATTGTTTACAACCTCTCCCCAACAACCAACACCAACATGGGCAACAAGGCCAGCACCACGACCATAATCACAACAGCAGTCCACAAATGTCTCCTCTCTGCCGTAAACGGCAACTCAGCACAAGTCTCAGTCCAAAACGACCTCCTCTACGGAGTGACCGCCGTCCATGAATACAATCTCAATTTCCCCATGACCCCTGCGGCGGTTACGTTCCCGGAGACGAGCGAGCAGGTTGCTGCGTTAGTCAAGTGCGCGGCTGAGTATAAGTATAAAGTGCAGGCGAGGAGTGGAGGGCATAGTTTTGGGAACCATGGTGTGTGACAATTACCAATTCAATATATATAGGAATGAGGGGTGTTTGTTGACAGGAACAGGACTCGGTGGTGCAGACGGCGCAATCGTTGTCGATATGAAGCATTTCCAGCAATTCTCAATGGACAATGAGACTCATGTCGCGACTATCGGACCTGGCCTCTCACTAGGAGACATCGACACACTATTATACAATGCAGGAGGACGAGCCATGTCCCACGGCATATGTCCCGAAATCCGTGCTGGCGGGCATCTCACCATCGGCGGATTAGGACTTACATCGCGACAATGGGGGATGTCACTGGACCATATCGAAGAAGTGGAAGTGGTCCTCCCGAATTCAAGCATCGTGAGGGCATCTGAGACTGAGAATGCGGATCTGCTTTTTGCCGTGAAAGGTGCAGCAGCCAGCTTTGGGGTCGTGACTGAGTTCAAAGTGCGTACTCAACTTGCGCCAAAGGAAGCTATTCAATATTCGTATTCGTTTAAACTAGGAAGTGCAGCTCAGAGGGCGAGGTTGTTTGCGGATTGGCAGGATTTAGCATTGAGGAGGGATCTCAGCCGGAAGTTCACGTCAGATTTTATATGTTTGCAAGATAGCGTGATAGTCAAGGGTGTTTTCTTCGGCTCCAAGAAGGAATACAACGCACTCCGAATTGAGCACCACTTACCTGGATCAGACTCAAGCAAAGTACTTGTCCTGGATGACTGGCTAGGAATAGTGACCCATGTGGTCGACGATCTTGCCGTCCGGCTTGGAGGCTCCATGTCAACATACTTCTACGCAAAATCCTTAGGTTTCACACGAGATACACTCATGCCCCCATCAACAATAACTAGCCTTTTCACCTACCTCGACAAAGCAAAAAAAGGAACCATAACCTGGTTCGTGACATTCAGCCTCGTCGGCGGCGCCATCAACGACTACCCCAAGAACGCCACCGCATACCCACACCGAGACGTGATATACTGGATGCAGTCGTTTGCGATTAATGCTCTTGGACCCGTGTTGAATAGCACGTATGATTTTCTAGATGGAATCAATGAGCTTGTCGCGCGGGATTTACCGGGGTGTGCTGGACATGCGTATTTGGGGTGTCCGGACCCAAGGATGGAAGGTGCTGAGAGGGCTTATTGGGGGTCTAATCTTGGGAGATTGGAGGATATGAAGGGGGTTTTTGATCCGGTGGATGTTTTTTGGAATCCACAGGGTGTGGGTGTACCTGTTGCGTAGGGTTTGTATGGACCGGATGGGGCCATGTATATATAATTAACAGCTGGACAAGAGTATCAGAGCACTTTAAGGCCACATTGAACGATCTTGGGACGTACTAGACACAGTGACTGTAGGAACAGATTCATACTGCAATATAAAAAGCAACATGAACCCCCCCGACTTTACCTTTCACCCAACACACCCCGACAACCTTCCCACGCAGACCTCCCATACATAACTTCAACCAAGCTCCACAAAATGCAAATCAGTATGTTAGCTGAGGGTGAGTAACCCCGAACCGCCTCAAAGTTACCGAATTAGTCACTAAATCGTTCCACAGTGAAGACACACCACTATTTCTCAACAATTAAGCATGTTAGCTCAGGGGAAGAGCGCCGGGCTCATAACCCGGAGGTCCTCGGATCGAAACCGAGACATGCTAATGACCTTCTATCCTTTTTTGCGCTTTTTTTTTTTCTTTTTGAGTTTTTTTTCTTTTCTTTTTTTTTTTTTTTGTGGTGGTGGGTGGTGTATTTTGGCGTGGGGCGTGGGTGGAGGCATTAGACGGGTGAGGGTTTGGTGCTCACGTGGTGAAGCCACTAGAAGAACGGAATTAAATACTGATGGATGAATCAAGAGGTTCTGGACTTGTAGCGCATTTGCATGCAGTCGTATTATTATAAGCAATGTTTTATTACGTACATACCACTCAGGCCTTTTAGCTCTCCTTTCCCAGTCTGCCCAAGGATTCCGCAATGAACTCATTGGCATTCATGAGATCCGTACTGCCGTATACCACGCGCCTCCTAGGCGCATTAAGCGACCCTGCCGCTCGGCCGCCAGCAGTTGAAGCATCACCGCCAGGGTGATTGTGTTGATAGACCCATTCCTGCAAGTTTCCGTATTCGTCCATGCTTCCACCACCGACTGTGAAGACAATGGCTTCGTTGAATGCTTGGCGGCGTTGTCCGAAGCTGGCGCCTGTTCCGGGGCCGGAGGCGCCCATGGCGCCAGGGGGTTGTGTGCGGGATGCAGATGCGGGAGGCATGGCGCCACGAGCGTTGGCACTGCGGGGGTCGAAGTAGAGGTAGTTTTCAGTCTTTGCAATGGCGGAACTAGAAGCGGCTGTCGGGTCCATGATGGACTCGGTAATCTTGGTCAGAGTCAGGTCCTTGTTGGCAGGCAGAAAGTTCTTGACGCCGGAGATGAGGGAGTCGAAATTGGCGCCCAGGGCTCCAGACGTGAACCGATCCGTGAGACGGTTCGACAGCGAGGAGAACCCCTTGAACAGATCTGAAGACTGTTCCTGCGGCGCAGCAGTCGTCATCATGGTCATGCGAGTGATTTCACGGACTTGTCGAACATAGGCGAGAGAGCTAACATCATCAACACCTGCCTTCGTGAGAGCCTCTTCAAATTGACTCATGTCGGATCGCGACAGTTCGGTCTCTGTACTCAAGAACCAGATGATAAAAAGACGAAGCTTATCTGACGGTTCATTGCCCTTAGCAGGGTCGTTGACCAACTCCAATATTTGAGCCTTGGTTTGTTTCGTGACACTCTCTTCGAGCTCGAAAAAGTTATCGAGTTGGCGGTCCTTGATACCCTTCAACAAAGAAGTTGCAATGTTCATATGCATGTCTAGGATAGCTTTGCGCTCCCGCAGTTCTGGAAGTAGGGTGATGGCTGCTTTGAGATGCTGTGCAGAAGCGCTGGTGTCGTTCTGGAGGTCTTCAATTGAAGAAGCACCTGTCTTCTTCGTGATATCATTGGCTTCCTCCTTGTATCGCGTCAACTCCGCATCGATGTTCTCGGCCACTTGTGGGAACGGAGCTCCAGCATTGCGCTTCCAGAAGAAGTCGTTGCTGGTCAGATCGTAAGATTTCTTTGTTACTCTGCCAGGATTTGCATCGTCTTCTACCTCCATTGTAATCCGGTTGAGTCGCATCTGGAGGACGTCTTGCACCAGTGATTGGTACGTCCACGAGTGAGAGAGCATCGGTACCAGATCCACATTGCGGTCGACGATGATGAGAACGGGGCGGGACGAAGGGACACCAGCTGCGCCTTTCTTCTGACTGGAGAAAAGGTTGTCTTTAGAATTCAGGATATGGTCGCGCAGTTTTCGGTCCAACTTTGTCGCAATCAACTCCGCAGCTCCACCTTTGGGACACCGAATGATAGGAATTGCGCCTGTTCATAGTTAGCCAGTGCAAACTCCCTTGCTCGAGACTACAATGTACATACCCATCGTAACGCTCACACTAAACAATCCACTAACGATTTTGTCAACGACACCGTCTAGCTCCTCATCGCTAGTTTGCGGGCTGTTGATCTTCCAGTAGGCATCATTTCCCAGACCTAAACTGAAAAGATCCGGCTCCGCAACGATGAAGTTCAAATATTGATCGAAGACCTGAGCAATATGTTCCGCCGTCCCGGTTGTAGCTATCTCGCCCGCGAAATCCTCCAGTAATGGTCGGGGAACGGATGATAGGAAATTGACATATGCAGGAGTATACAGTCCGCGTGACAGGTCGTCAGTGATCGTTTTGATATTATTAGGAGTTGGTTCGACGAGGTAGATGACGGGGACATCAGGAATGGGGTATCGTGCAGAGGTCAAGTTCCTAACCCAATCTCGTTAACTGCATGGCTCCGAAGAAATGCGACTTCCCCGCTGTTGCCAGACCACATACAAATGGATTGTCACCCCCCATGTTCTCAAGTCATTAACTCGAAGCACACTGCTGATAACATCTCTCCCCATGTTATCGAAAACCAGCACTTTCCAAATTGGATCGCCATCTTGGTTGAGTATTGGAGTTGCGTGAGTGAGAGCGGACGTATCGTGGGGGTTATCTTCGTTGACAGGCGGATCCTGGTTCAGGTTGAGGATCTTTTGAATAGAGGCTGCGACAGGCTATCAGTCATTATCCTCCAAACAGAGTCGGTTCGACAGGAAACCTACCGACCTGGCGGTCCCGGAGAGACATTGATTGCGATGCCATGGTATTCGACTTTCACGGCGAGGAATTAATGGGGCATAGAGTCATGACACATGTAACCAAATAAGGGAAGTCGTAGCGACAAGATAGAATAGATAATCACAGACCACAACAGCGTTGAATCATGCAAATAAGAGTATAGTACTGTATCGCGATTCCACCTGGCATGAAGCTCTGTCCGGGATGGGATGACATAAGCGGCACATTGATGCAAACACTGCCAAAAGAGGAAAAGTCATTAGCTGTTAATCACGTGACACAAGCTATACCCAAAGGGTAATGGTACCGCATCCAGCCCAACGCAACCCGACAGCCGCGAAGTTTTCCGTCACCTCTTAACAACAACTCACCAACATCACCATTCCCCCCCTTCCCTATCTGGTTCCGTCAGCCACTCTATCGTAAAGCGAATTATATACTGCTTCATCGCAGTCTTTAATAACCCTCACTGTGTCTTTCTCTTTGAGTCAAGTTGAAGAGGGAAAGAGGTGCGCAGCTCTAACTGGGGCCACATAACCAAGGTGGAGAAGAGAGATACGGGAGAAGCTACAGGATAAGGGATACTGTGCTATTGAAAGCACCTTAAAAGAGAAAGAAAAGGAGGATTGAATCTACAATACATCTCTATAAAATTCCTTAAAGAACGCGGTGCACGTTGCAAAAGGGGAACAGCCACACAAAAATCGGCAATAACTCACCGCTGTCACTCCTGGATGCCTGAGGGTGCCTGAGGCTGGAATCGCCAAGAATAGGTTGGTGCCTTAACTACTTTCTTAACGACTACTCTTCACTTGCATCTACGTTATACACGTTATACAACAATTTTGGAAAATTACTTATTCTTTCCCTATATTTTTTCATTCAAACCAGGCTTTATCTCAATTTTGAATCATTGCCAGTTGTGTTGTGAATATCCCACCTGCATCGCCGTTGAGCTAGCTTTAACCAATCACGCCGCGCCGTTGAATGATCCACCTTCTCAGCTATTCCAAATACGGCAACGCTTGCACGTGGATGCATGTGACCTGAGATCCTGGGGTTACTACTACCGCTTCTAAACAGTCGTTACTCGTTCCGTATACAAGAAAGCCATTTCGCCTCTTCTTGGAGGGGAGGAAACAGTTTAAGATGGATCAGAATCCATCACAAACACCGACCAGCTTGCACCGTTCTTCCGTCGTCGCCAGCTCCCTTCCTCCCGAATATTGGAATCCCCTCGATTCACTCTATCCCGCACCGGATCTCCAACAACAACAGCCGCAACTTCCGCAACAGTCACAGCTGCCACAGCAACCGAGTGCTTCACAACAGCCACTAGGCATCAGCTGGGATCATCCGATTTTCCACCAGGAGCAACCACAACCACGAAACCAGATCCCGCGCCATCAGGAGCAGAATCATGGAATCTATTCGCCAACGCCCCAGTCATGGCAACCCAATCCTCTATATCAACCAATAATGCCATCCTCCAAACCGCAGGGACTTAGCGTACAGCCGCAATACCCTCAAGTCCACCAATTTCCTCAGTCACATCTTGCGTTCGATTCACAATCGATTCCGTCAGGTAGCACGACTTTCGATGCCATTCCTTTTCCACAAGACTTCTTTCCTCCGCAACGGCTCTCCGTGCCTGATATTGCGACACAGCCGTCCTCACAGCAAGCGACTCCACAGCCTACACCTCCCGCTCCATACCAATCAAATGCGCAACAGAATCCCATAAACCAGTACTCAATCCCTTCGGGGTTCCCTGAAGAAGCTTCGGTATGGCGCTGCCCCGTATGGCCCTTACATCATGGTCTTTAGCTGATTGAAAACAGCATACCTCGATCAATTTCCCGAATGGTTTCTCGGATCCTGGCACGAATCAGCAGACCATCAACCCTCTATTTCTTAATACCCCTCACCAATCTGGGAATCAACAGCATGCACCTATCAATGATAACTTCCTCTATCTAAGTCCAGCGGATTTTGAACGGTCTAGCAATTCGAAGTATGTTTTTTCGTTCTGTTTTTCTGAAGGTAATAACATAAACTCACATTTTCACCCTAGGCCATTCAATTATTACCGGAATGACCTTCAAGCGTCGCCCTCGAACCAACATACCATTGGTAATCAATCTATCGCAGCTCAATTTCCAAAGGTGGAAGTAGTTATCAATAACGCGCGAGGTATGCCCCGAAAGCTTAGAAATGCGTGATTCCTCCTATGCCCAACATGCTAACTGATTGTGATAGCCCCAGCAGGCAAGAAGCCATTGGCCCCTCAGAACAGAACCGCAGCTCAGAAGCAAGTGAAAACCCAGGCTAAACGAGCGGGAAAACAAACAAGTGATGGGTCATCCTCCGGCTCTGAAAGTGATTCCAGTATCGAGATCCAACTTCCCCCTGAAGAACCCTCTCCTATTCCACCAGTTCGTCCTAGCGAGCCGCTTGCTGCAGCACGATATGATACCCTTTGGGCTGTCTGGTCGCCACGTAACAGACGACCCAACTCTGAAAAAGTCAAGAATGCGCTGGTCGCATTTAAGAACGTTGTCAAGGCTGTAAGAGATACGTGGAAAGAGCGTTCTCAAGCCATGAAGACGGCCGAGAATAAGGGTGAAAACGACAAGGCAATTCAATTCAAAAACGAAGTTGTCTTTCAACGGCGCCTCATGGACGTGGTTGTCAGTACCACTCTGGAAATGGGCCATCCGATGATTGTTGAGAAGTATGTCTTATTCCTTATCGTTTTTCTCTCACTTGTGGCAGCTTTGTGCCGTGATTATAGAACTCTGAAGCGAATTGAGAGCCTCTCCCCTTGTAATACTCCTAGCGTGGATGCCCAGCATGCCTCTTTAAACTGGCTATTAAGTAAGGGCGAGCATCTTTGTTCTCCACGGTCCATGGGCAATACGTACCTCAGTATACATCCCAGCGACTCGAGACGAAAGAACTTGCCCTCTTCCTTTGCAGCCCCGTTATTGAAATGGGTTGCATAATCAAATCATCGTGAGAATACGCTGAGGAGAATTGAGCCATTAGCGGAAATTCTCCTTGACGAGTGACATTCGGGAAACTATAGCTCATCAATTCCTTTATTCTATCTCGCACACATTGCCATGGCTGTTTTCATCTTTATCTTTATGTTTATTTAACTAATATTTTCTAGGTTGGGTGAACACCCCATGGCCGTCTCTGCCATGTATTCGTTCCTGCTGGACCGTCATCAAGCTGCCGATGTTGACGGAACATTGACGGTCAACATTCTAAAGGTAGATTATTCAGTAGATTTGCTCACTTTTTTTTTCAAGGAAAGGAGGCTAATGATCGTGCCGAATTTAGTTACTTTCTCATTTTGTTACGGTAGATGAGGATGTGCTTCAAAAAACTAACGTTGCCAAATTACTCCCCAGGTTCTCAAAGAAGGGTGGCCAAGCTGTCAAGGAGCTTACGAAGAGAATTCTAGACAACGCTGCTTCATCCACGAAGCGCAAACAAGGATCTAAGGAAGACTCGCCCAGCAAAAATACTACTCCCGATGCTACAACCACCAATGGGTCTCGTGTCGAAGCGGCTGGTTCAAAGCGTCCTCGAGACGGTGAGAGCAGAGAAGGAGGCGTACAGCCTGCTGCTAAACGGATGGTCGTCACCTCGAATACCAAGAATCCCTCGAAACCTGGAAATACCGGTATCGCCAACGGTGCCACGGCCAAGCGTCCACAGGAGACAGGACCAGACGCTAAAGCAACGACTGCAACCGCTGCACGTCCCAAGGCCAACATCATTGCTCCCAAGCCAACCAATCTCTTTGGAAGTTTGAGCTCTGCTAAGAAAAGACCCGGGACTTCAAATGCAGAGAGAGCCGCAGCAGCCGCGAAGTCGAAGTAAGAATCCATGACCCCCACAACGTAATAAATGACATGCTAATAGTGAACAGTGTCCCTGAGAAGAAGAGAGAAGCGGCTTTACCACCTCCCAAGCCGGCATTCTCACTTGGCGATATCATGGCAGATCTTGACAAGCCGAAAGATCCCGGTCCTGTTGAGCCTACTGAGGATAAGCCTCCTGAGACTGAAGAGGAGCGGAAGAAGAGGCTCCGGAAGGAAGGTCGCCGTAGGCTGCGTGTTAGTTGGAAGCCTGATCATTCTTTGGCTGAAGTCCGCCTCTTCACACATGACCCTGAAGAGGAGCTTGGTCCTGGCGATCGTCGACAGCGGCAGGCTGGCGATGTGAAAGGCGAAGGCCGCATCCTTAAGTTGCACAAAGACCTGGATGAATTGGGTGAAGAAGATGAAGGTGGCATCAAAGAGGAAAATCTGCTTGGCTACCGCGAGTTGTCAGGTATGCAATCACTGAAACTTCCACATCTGATCTACGTGCTAACGAGTCTAGAAATTGATAACGCCGATATTACACCGGACGATCGTGCCAGGAACTACATCAAACGTGGAGGTACTCAAGAGCCAACTAGCCAGGAGAAGCAAGCCCAAGACCACCGGGAAGCTACCACGCTTATGGTGTTCTACACCTCGCTTGCTGACATACCACCATCACCGAAAGAGCCACCTCCGCCCAGTGAGGATGAGATTATCCCGGAGGTGCAGATTTTTGGTGAACTGCCCGACCACGTAAAGGTTAGACAAGAACGATACTTCGCCTACGTCAATCCGAAACCGGCACCGGTTGCGCAGCCGGCTGCTCCAACGAACCAATTCGATATCTCCAACCTGCTGAAGATCATCCAAAGTGCAACCCAGCAGCAACAACCGCAACAGCCAGCCCAGCCTCTTCCCACACCGCAGCCAGTCTCGCAGGCGCCTACATCTGACCTTGAGCGGACAGTGAATATGTTCCGCCAGCAACAAACGCCGGCACCGCTGCCTCAAATGCCCCAGTTCCCTATGCCTCAGCCCGCAGCCACACAAGGCATGGACTTTGGGAATATTTTTTCCATCATGAATGCTCAAAATCAGATGCAGCCGCCGCCTGTATTCCCTCCAGCTCCACAGTCGCAGCCTGGAATTGCTCCAAACCTTGCCGCTATTATATCCCAACTTAGCAACCAGAACCAAGGCGGTAATCCATCCACCCAGGTCTACGAAGATCCAGAACGCAAGCGCATGCGCGAGACTAGCGGGTTTGACGGCGCTGGTGATGATAAATTCAACCCTTCCAAGCGTAATCGGCCTAATGGACCTCACAAGAAACACGTAAGTCATATGTGTTGTTCCAGATGTGAATTTTGTACTGACTATGGAAAACAGCCCAAGGTTGGAATAGTCCCGTGTCGATATTGGAAAGAGGGAAAGTGCCTAAAGGGTGACGATTGCACATTCCGCCATGACCCTCTCACTTAGTTCTCATCATCCTCCGTGCTTTATGCCGACTCGAAACCTCTTGATATCGGCTTTTTTTGATATTTAAGCATCTTTGCATATATCATAATCGTGATTTGATTCCACATATCCTCGACTTATCGTTGTACGTCGACATGCTGTGTACAACCATCATAGTGTCTATCTGCATCGTTTTCTCGAAAATTTGGCATAATCATACGCGCAGTGAGCCTTTTTTCTTATATTTTGATCCATAACTGAAAGAGGCGTTCTGTTTCTGCTTTGCTTATATTTTTACCGGTTGGCATTCTTACAAGAGCATATTACAAACATTTCTTTTTTACTAGGCGTCTGGATCTCTTCGGGACAGGTTGATTGTATATCAGTTGTCATCTTGTGGCGTCTAATTGGCATGTCTCAGCGGATTTATGAATATGCAGTTATTATCCGATCAATACGAATTCCTTAGATTGTTTCCTATATACAGTCCTCTCAGACGTAGTTATTCGCGATATATGGCTTAGGTAATACCAACGGCGGTCATCTTGTCGCGTAGATTCTCAATTAACGACTCTGGCCTCTACCGAGCAAGATGCAACAACAGCGCTGCAACCATCTAATCATCGTATGCTGCCATGCAATATACCTCGGGGGACCTACTCGCGGGCTTTCCGAAGATGAATGGTAACGTAGCTTTCCACATCTACTCCCATAATATTGGACTTGGTCGTAATTAACAAGATCATAGGGTCATAGAACCATTCCAACGAGGCGAGACGCCAACATTCACAGAACATGTCAAGGCCGGACTGCGGGCATTAGCGGATGATTCAGGTGGATTACTTGTGTTTTCGGGGTATGCCTTTTATTCCCTACTTGTCATTTTATTCAAGTCTGAATGATTACTTGCAGAGGACCAACGAAGAGAGAGAGGACAGATTTGGCAGAGGGCGAGTCGTATATGGTACACACCATCCAAAAACATACGATGAAGACTAGTGACTGATGAATCATAGAATTTAGTGAAAGATAACGACTACTTTGGCTTCTTGACCCGGATAAAACCCTCGCAGTTGACCACTGAAACGCACGCGACAGATTCATACCAGAACGTATTGTTCTCCCTACTCCGGTTTAGACTATATACGGGGTTCTATCCAACGCGTGTTACAGTTGTAACACACGAGTTTAAGCGGAAGAGGTTCATGGACTTTCATTTCCCGGCCGTTGGACTAGTCCCCATCACTATTCTTAGCAGGCAAGACGAGGAGAATCAGAGAGCTGCTGTTATTGGAATTAACCCCCCCGAGAGCGTGACATCTGCCGAGTCACTGATTGCAGGTGAAGAGAAGAGTGGGGTTGGTCTGTGGAGTAAAGACCGGTATGGCGTTCAGTCGGAGTTGGCGAGGAAGAGGGTGAAGCGTGGATGGAAGGCTGGGATGGAAAATGGGCTTTTTGTTAATGTGGGATTGGAGCCTATTGTTGAGGATTTGGTGCGGTGGGATGGGGGAAGTGGGAATGGGTGGTTTGGTAAGACAGAGGAGTTGCCTTGGTATAGTCCTTAAGTCACCGGTGAGCGTGTTAATGCACGCATACCACATCAATCATTATTGATAGAGCTTAGAATAATGCAAATAAAAGATACCCGAGATGCAAAATGTAAATGAAACCAGAACGCCAGCCGCGAACACCCCTCCTGACGCTCTAATCAGCCAGACGATAGCTGACCAACGTCTCAACCCGGTGATTATTTGTACTAAAGCTTCTCAGCTGCACTTTTTCGGCGTTCTTGATCTCCTTGGCGTCACTGTCGCCCCATTCAACCGGCACTTCGGAGTCTGCATCGGCGTAGACCAGGACGTTGAAGGTGCAGTCACCGTCAAGGACGGGGAGGAAAGTAACGGACGCGGTGATCTGGCGGAAGATTGCTTGGATTTCGTCTTGGATTTCTTTTTCGGTCTTTTCGATGGGGGCTGCGGACTCGGCATCACTGCGGAAAATGAATGTTAATCTCGGACGTATGAATAGCGTTTAAAAGTCTAACGCACCCCGTGTTCTCCTTATCACCCGATTTCTGAGCCGATTTGCTTCGCTTGTGTTTATTGAATATCTCAACCTGAGTATCACGTTCGTGTCAGCTGTTGTTGCTTTTGCTTTTGTCTGTCGCGGAAGGGCGAGCGTACATCGAACTGCCATCGTTCTACATGCTCTCCGGTCTCTCTGCTGGTGATAACCAATACCAGTTTCGAGATCTTTCCACCCATCATCCACTTATTGAGCTGAGACATGATCTTCTTGATGTAGGCTTTGACTTGATCGTCGGAGGAGACTGGATCGGTCAGTGGTGACTGCGACTGCGGGCGAGAGAGGACGAACCAAGCATGTTGAGGCCATATTTCTTGACACTAGAGGTAATAAGTTAGAGGGTGTTCTTTGAGTAGATAAGAGTGGAAGGTACTCACGTTGTAAAGTCTTCCGGAGGGTAGACTCCTCGCTGGAAACTGGGATCGCATGAGAACAAGCCATCATTGCACTCCCACAACCACTTACAGGATTGAATTGATCGAATATTCAAACTGTTAAAATTCCTCAATCAGTCTTATCCACCACTCCAATGCCTTGAGCGTTACTCACGAATTCAGCCACGAGCTTGGCCGACCCTGCGCTGTGTGAGCATCCTGGACTGTGCGACCACAGCAACTGCAAACTCACCTTTGAGGGACAGCTTGTGAACCTTGGACTTGTCCTTTTCTCCCATGGTGTAGGTAGTGAGTGTTGTCCAGTTGAATATTCTCGTGAGTTGCTGTGTTTTGTTTACTCCGATAGTCGCCGCAGCAATTCGATTTTCCGTCTTTTTCGTTTCTCCGCAGAGCCGCACCTCCAACTTTTCTCCCGATCGTACGCAACGGCCACCACCCACTGACAAACAAAGATATTGGTTATTCCCATGCCATTGCAGAACTCCCGATGCGAGGATGCCTGCACTTAGCCAGATGGCTGCGCGCAGCACCGACTTGCCTGGCTGCGAGAAGCCCCGCCAGGCCGCTGCCATCCGGCATTGTTCTTAGAGCAACGACAAGATCCTTCACCAGCACAGCCTTATGGCAAGCAGCGCGGTCTCATGGCGTGAAACCGCTTGGCGAACTCGAACAGCGTATTGCTGCGATTCCGATCGAACGATATCGCAATTTCTGCATCGTTGCACATGTCGACCATGGCAAGAGTACACTCTCCGACCGATTGCTGGAATTGACGGGCACGATCCAACCGGGAACAAATAAGCAAGTGCTGGATAAGCTGGATGTCGAACGGGAGCGAGGTATCACGGTCAAGGCGCAAACGTGTACGATGATCTACAATCATAACGGGGAGGACTATTTGCTGCATCTGGTTGATACACCGGGACATGTGGATTTCCGTGCGGAGGTGTCGCGCAGTTATGCCAGTTGTGGAGGAGCATTGCTTCTGGTCGATGCGAGCCAGGGTGTCCAGGCGCAAACCGTTGCGAATTTCTACCTCGCTTTTGCTCAGGGATTGGAGTTGATTCCTGTATTGAATAAAGTCGACTTGCCCTCGGCTGAGCCCGAGCGGGCGCTCGAGCAGATGAGAAACTCATTCGAGCTGGAAACAGACAATGCAGTATGGGTGTCGGCTAAGACTGGATTGAATGTGCCCAAAGTGCTTCCCACCGTTGTTGACAAGATTCCAGCGTGCGTATCCCCAGTCTTATTCCTAGAGCTGTAGCTGACAAAATAAAGACCCGTAGGCGAATGTAAAAAGCCGTTACGGATGCTTCTTGTCGACTCGTGGTACGACTCATACAAGGGTGTCATCTGCTTGGTTCGCATATTCGACGGTGAACTTCGCCCCGGTCAACAAGTGATATCGTATGCAACCGGAATCAAGTATTACGTTGGCGAGGTTGGCATCATGTACCCGAACGAGAAGTCGCAGACAGTCCTCCGTGCAGGTCAGGTCGGATACATTTACTTCAACCCGGGAATGAAGCGCAGTAAGGAAGCCAAGATCGGAGACACATATACGACAGTTGGATCCGAGAAAACCGTGGAACCGCTTCCTGGATTCGAGGAGCCCAAGCCCATGGTTTTCGTGGCTGCTTACCCCGTAGACGCGGACCACTTTGAGCACCTGGAAGACAGTATCAACCAGCTTATTCTCAACGACAGAAGTATTCACGTGCAGAAGGAGTCCTCCGAGGCCCTTGGTGCCGGTTTCCGACTAGGATTCTTAGGCACCCTGCACTGTTCAGTCTTCGAAGATCGTCTACGCCAGGAACACGGAGCCAGCATCATCATCACTCCACCCTCGGTACCCGTAAAAGTACTCTGGAAAGACGGCCGTGAAGATATAATAACCAACCCCGCCAAATTCCCCGACGAAGACGAACTCCGCGGCAAAGTCGCCGAAATCCAAGAACCCTACGTCCTTACCACACTAACCTTTCCTGACGAATACCTAGGCAAAGCGATCGAACTCTGCGAATCCAACCGCGGCGAGCAAGTAAGCCTCGACTACTTCACCTCGACGCAGGTCATCCTGAAATACCAACTCCCACTCGCCCAGCTCGTCGACGACTTCTTCGGCAAACTCAAAGGCTCCACGAAAGGCTACGCCAGTCTGGACTACGAAGACTCGGGCTGGCGCTCCGGCCACATCGTCAAGCTACAACTCCTTGTCAACAAAGTACCAGTCGATGCCGTCTCGCGAGTCATGCATGCGAGCCAGATTGACCGCACGGGCCGAAAATGGGTGACCAAGTTCAAAGAGCATGTTGACAGGCAACTATTCGAAATCGTCATCCAAGCCGCCGTTGGTAAGAAGGTTGTTGCAAGAGAAACAGTCAAGCCGTACCGGAAGGATGTATTGGCGAAGCTGCATGCTAGTGATGTTAGTCGGCGAAGGAAGCTGCTGGAGAAGCAGAAGGAGGGACGGAAGAAGCTCAGGGCTGTTGGGAATGTTGTTATTGAGCATAAGGCTTTTCAGCAGTTTTTGGCCAAGTAGACGGGTTGTACGATATTTAAAATGTATTATAGAGGTATATCATTGCTACATACTGACAATAACGAGTTAAACGAGATGCCATGGAATATTATTTCAATACAATTAGAATACAAGGGGTATTATCTTTTTAAACCACCGGATCACCGCACTACCAAGAGAACGCCACCCAATCTCAGATCTCACCCAAATTCAAGCCATCTCAAACCAGTCTAAACCTCACCCCCATCCTTCTGATGGCTCTGCACGGAATAATCATGCTCCACCGAAATCCCATACTTTGACAACTCCGGATCAACCTGCCTCGTCGGACTAAGAGCCGCATAACACATAGCATTCGCAGGGATATTATTCCTCGTCGTAGCGTCGCTGGAAAACGACGTCGACAAATTATTATTCCTCATGGGGTTGTAGCTGTTTACATTCATGAGGTGGCGGTGGGAGTCCGAAGTGCGGCTTGTGACGCGGCTCTTTTGCTCAAAGGTGGAACCGGCCCAGATGGTGGACAGGGGGAGGGAGATGATGACGAGGGTTAGGACGTTGGAGTAGAGCTCGGGGACGTGCACGAAGTACTGTAGGATTGAGAAGAAGGCTATTACCAACGGGTTAGTAAGGTGGGAGTCTATCGGGAGGGGAAAGGAAAGGGATGTACCTGGAATAATCATGGTCTGACAACCCATGACAAAGATAACCTTCATAGGCCCGTATTCTTGCACACCAAGCTGCTTGCGTAGCTTGATGGCGAGTCCCAGCTTGACGACAAAGACGGTGCAGAAGAAGCAGATGCTGACAGTAACGACGACGTTGGTAGAGTTTTCCAGCCAAGTAGGCGAAATGACTTCGAGGTCCATGATCGACATCGAATTGACCACAAGTAAAGCAAAGCGGAATCCGATAGGGATCATGGCCACGAGGACAGACGTCGCCAGGAGCACCCGTCGATACCAGCGCCGGAGAGTCGCGCAGACCACCTGGACCTGCAGGACCAAGGAGACTTCCATGAAGACGACGGCAAGGAACGCAAAGACAGCGCCTATAATCGAATTTGCATAGGCTGACTGGGGGACCCGGGAGTAATCTTCTGCGAAAATAGGGTACAGACGAACAAGGGGGCCGGTGAAATAGATGAGCTGGCAGAGCAGGCGGGCGACGTTGGAGACCAGAGCCAGGGAGTTAAGCCAGAAAACGACAGACGAACGCTTCTCGGCCCTGGTTAGTAGAATGAGGACGATGAGCAGGATGGCCGAAGCGCCCATTTGGCAACCGTAGTTGATGCAGATGCGGATGCAGTACTGGAGCCATGTATCCACGGAGTTCACGGGGACTAGGAACGGTGTGCCGTCTGCCCCATGCATGGTGATGTTCTGCTCGAACGGGTCGAAGCTTTGAGCTGTTTCCGACGCCATGATGTCGATTCCGGTAGCCGTAGATGTGATAACGAGAAGGTATATTGGTTCGAGGGTCGGGCTGTAGAGAGATGGAAAGGAAATCGACCAAATAAAAGAAGATGTATAATAGCTCGATGGACAAAGCTTCGAGAGGAATAGAGATCTCAAACAGGAGAATTTGGCAGCAGTGAAGAACTCAACCAGCGAGTCATCCCGGTGCTATAGCGCTGCCGAAACGAACAATACGGCGTTGACATGACGGGAAGCGCGAATTTAACAATATCAAGAACTGAAGAGATGGGGGAATTCGGTGACAGGATCAAGTCAAGGCGGTTGAGGATTCTTTGAGTCTTTCTTGCACGATTCTTTGTCTCTCGTCGCCCCCGTCGAGGTAGACCACGACAATATCAACGCCGGCCGCAATGAACAATATCAAGCCGGGTGGACAAAGACATCCCGGCGTCAATGCCACGTCCACCACCCACGGTTCGAAGTGAATCTTCTGTGTTTTGATTTATTTTAAGCAGTTTCAGGACTGGCTTTGAAGTCAAATAAAATTATATGGTCCAACACTTTCCTTTTTCGTCGCTACTGTCATACTTGCTTGTTATTGCCGCGATTCACCGCTTGCAACCCTGTGCCCTACTCCTTTCTTCGTCGAACAGTCTTCGTGCTATTTGGGCTCTGTGTGTTTTCTATTAAAAGCTCTGGTCAAATCGTCAGGCATCGGAGCAGCCTTGATGCGTGCCACTAGGTCGAGACAAATCGTCGCGATTATTTTAGAATGACTAGAACAGTCTATCAAAAGACAGACGTCTGACTTATCCCAGATCGGGAATGTGTAAGGCTTCCTTCCCATAATCGTCTAGCCCAGCGGAGAGTCAATTTCAGCCAACATCCAAGGATCGCTAGAGAGTAGAGACCGTTGTGTCATCCGACAGCGTCGAGTGATTTTTTGAATTATTCTTATTTCTTTGGCTGTGAGTGTTGCTTTCTTTATTGCCAGATCTCTTGATGTGGTCATGGAAAGCACCGGCTATTGGAGCCTCCAGCTCACACGAGAAAGATACATCTAGAAGTATGGGCCCCTCTGACCCGGCATCGGAGCAAGGACCACCACCAGGGGGTTGCTCACAAGCTGCCGCGAGAAAGGTTGAGGAGCCATCCTGGTTATGGATGCCTGGGATGGCCTCGACGAGCCCAATGTCCCTCTCGAGGCTCTTCGAGGACCTTGACGTGATGTGACTAGGTGATGAACCATATACTGCTATTCCTGGTCAAGCTCTCCAACGATTACAACGTAATGAGGAGCTACCCACTCGTTCTAGTCGTGCCGCAATGCTGACAGATGCAGATGGAAATATTTTTTGCGCTGCATGGCCAGCAAGCCGCGGTACTTCGCAGATGCCGATTACAGTTCTCGAGCTTCGCTCTGGGTTGAAGATGATAAACCTCCCCCGTCTTCTATAAAGCAATGCAAAGAGGTCCACGCCATCGGTTTGGCAAAGAGGATGACCTCCAAGAAAATGGATATCTGAGTCTAAAGCCAGAAACAAAACCTTATAAGACCCAACTCAAAGAGTACATATCGATATCCGCATCCCGGAAATAATGACGAATGATGCACTGCCTTACTTGACGCACATCAACTGAAGGCCTCTCTGCCAAAATGGGGTCGCGCATAGAGAGCACATGGAGCGTCATGTATCCTGGCAAATATCCAACGGTGTAACGGTATCCGATGTTCAATCTGTTTGGGGTGGCTTTACATAGTCCTTGACAGTCAGGAGAATGCGAGGTAAGATCGAGCCATCTGCGAACTGCTGGTCGGACATCACCAAAAGTGTTCATGTTACCGAAAAGGTTGAATAACATTGATATGGCATATGGCAGCTAAATACAAACAAACAAACAGAAAAACGTAGTAAACTGGTTGTACCTCACTCCACGGTACACACCTAAGCAACCTGGTACAACTTCCCAATCCGCAAATTATTATACTCCCAAGCGGTCATATCATCATAACGACACGGTCTCCCCTCATCCACAAACTCCGAAAACGGCAACAACGACGCATTTCGATTCGGCTTCGCAAAGTACGCAATCGAGTACCGTTCCGGAATCACCTCATCCTCATTCTCACCCTCGCCCTCATTGATCTTCACAGTAGGCGGATACGTAACGCGATGGCATGCAGCGCGGAAGGTATCATTCGTTAATCTCTGTAACGAGTCCCCGATGTTTAGGATGATGTCTGTCTTGTTCGACTCGATACCGTGGAATGTGCCCAGACACGTCTGATCCTCGACCTGTAGACCACCTGTGGAATCCTGGAAGAGCATCGTGATAGTCCCGAAGTCAGTGTGTTCGGCGATGCGGGTCGAAGTACCGTCTTTGAGGAGTGAGACTGGGATAGCGGGATAATGAAGCAGACGGAATTCATTTTCGGCCGCGGAATGAAGGGATACAAGTTGTGATTCGGGGATATTGAGGGCGCGCGCGAGGGCGATGAGGATAGTTTTTTCGAGAGCGAAGCATTGTGCGTAGAAGCCTTCCATGAAGCTTCTGAAGCCGGGGACTTTGTCCTCTGGCATCCAGATGTTGTCGACGAGGGTGTCGGTGGGGGATCCCATGTCGAATGTTTCCTATCCTCATTAGTCTCTTCCTCTTCCTACATTGGATGCTGTGGAAGATAGCCTACCTTGATATCCTTCACACTCTTCGCCTGCGACACACCCTTCTCAAAACCACTAATGTTCCCCACAGACTCCTGTCCAACGTAACTATACCCGCGATTCGGAGTCGACTCGGGCGGATGCTTTGCGATCATCTTGTCCTCATGCGATGCGGCGAAGAACTTGCGGGTCATGTCGAAGAGCTGGTTGATGGTTTCTTCTGGGATGCCGTGGTTGCTGAGACGGGCGACGCCGCGGCTTTTGAGGGTTGCAAGGAGGTCATTGCAGAAGAGCTGGCTTTGGGAGGGGGAGTTGAGGAGGGAGAAGTCGAGGGCTGACATTTTGTTTGATTGGTGTTGTATGCTGTTAGAATTGGGATTGGTGTTGATGGTAGTGGTGGATGGGGTATTTATAATGTCAGTTCCGGTATTGTTGAAGTATGCTGGAAGATAAAGGATTCTACAAGTATAGGAGGTGATACTGTTACCTTCCAGATATACGAGTGGTGATAAGATTACCTTCCTCAGATTACCTTCCTATTGAGATCTAGATCACCTTCCTTTACATTACCTTCCGCTTACATTGCCTTCCATTAGGGTCAGCGAATAAGATCGGCGATTAATATCACATGCGTACGTACCATGATTTTCATATAATAAGAAGCATAAGAAATATACTCATATACTCACAAAAGGGCATCTAATGGCTGACTGGTACATCACCTTTCGCTTTAGTCTACTGTATCACTTTCCATCGGAGTAGGGCTACAAGATAACAATAAGATCATCAAACAAATTCATGGATATCATATTAACCTATACATAACAAACCAAGCGAGGTATCATAACTCATAACCCAAAATAGAATCATCTAAGCACCCCCCTTCTTATCAATATCCTCCTCCGCCCCCCTCTGCCTAACCTTTCCCTCATCATGAATCTGCCTCCACTTCTCCTCCTCCTCCCTATCCCCCACAACAGCAGCCCCAATACCACCCAACTTCCCCTGCGCGCGATCACCCACGCCCTCACCAAGATCCTTCAACTGCCCTTTTGCCTCAGCCTCTTTACCAGCAGCATTCTGCTCGACGCCTTGGCGGCGGATGTTCTCGTTGCCGATGAAGTTGCCCACGGACTCCTTGGCAGAACCGACGGTTTGATCCCAGGAGCCTGTGTTGCGGGAGGGGTTGTCTTGGGCTGTGGCGCCAGTTTGGGGGTCGGCGGTTACGTGGCCGAGTTTGGCGGTGTCGTGGCTGGCGGCGTGTTCAGACTTGGACTGGTCTTGGGTGGTTTGACCTTCAACCTGTTCAGTTATTAGCTTTGGTTCTTTAGGTACAAGCACAGGTGAAAAGGGGCGTACCTGAGTAGTAGAGCTACCGGTAACTGTACCAACAGCGCGCTGGGCGAGGCCGGTGGCAGAGTCGACGTAGGACTTGAGGGTGGAAGAGTTGTTGTCGGCCATTGTGATTGTATTCTTTTCTTTGTATTGTCTTGTGTAAATTGTTTGTATTCAATTGATCTGGTTACCTTTTCGAAGTGGTTGTATAGATGTCTTTATATCTATAGGAAAGTGATGACATCATGGTGGTGATGTCATGTATCATGGGTAGATTCCGGACTTTTCTAGAGAATTTCCAACCTAATCGAGTCTGATCATTGCGTCATGCTAGAACTCATAATTATCGGCCGCGTGGCTGTACAACTATTATGCAATCGTCATTTGAGTTGTGATGGGAATGGAATTGTATGGCTCACTCGAGCCCCTGAATTGTTCATGCAATCACATGCAATATGCAAATATGAGAAAGGCAAAACCGGTAAGACGTCAGGAATCAACCAAGAGGCTGTATGAAGCAGGTGTATCATAGCACGCTCGAAATGAACAAGAACAAAAAGAAAACAGTAAAACAAGAAAAGTCTATGTCCATCACCAATGGCAAATCCCACCCTCACTCTCATCAGCTGCCCACGTCCCCGATAATCCTACCACCTCAATATGTCCATCCGAATTCTCTCCGATCTTGCTCAATGCTGCGAAACCAGATGGCACAGGTGCATCTCCCAGCAAGCGTCGCGCCCATGCGTCAATGGCCGGCTCACCAGTCTCATCCCGCGCTTGCTTCAGGAACGGAATAAGAGCCGTTCCACCTGTTCCTCGAAGCTTCTTTTTATCGACTGGGCGAGTTGAGGCGAGGTTTTGGGGCTTTGCACTGCTTCGTGCTGCTGGCTGGGTTTGCTCCCGTGCGCCCTTGGATTGGATGATGATGTATCGCGAGACCATCTGAATGTGCTTGTCGCGCATGGTCCGCAGCATGTACAGACAAGCATCGTAAGCGATGCATAATGCCTTGTCTGACCGTCGTGCCTCGACGAATTCACGAATGTTGGCAACAGCGTTGACGTGCTCCAGGAAACGACGGTGAGGTCCGGGCATGTAGGACCGCATCTCTTGGATGAAGCCGTGTCGCGGTCTGCCGGCAACCCCCTCTTTATTGGTCTCGGGGGTCTGGGGCTTCTCCCCCGTGGGTCGATGTTCCACCCCGAGGACAATGTCGAAGAATTGAATCAGCGAGCTCTGTGCGTTGCTACCTCCGCCATATTGACCATACTTCGGAGCTTTGCCGTCATCGTACAGCAGACCATCAGGGAGGCCAGCCTCCGCCATGTTCTTGCTGCCCGCGAGATAGGGACGGATCCGGTTATAGAAGACGTAGGGGTCACAGTTCTCGTACATCCGTTCAAGCAAAGCACCGATATCATCCAACCGCTCTGCCATTTCATGCAGACACTCGGTCACGATGCCACTCTGGCCCTTGCGTGCGGCTGAGATGGCCCGCAGCATCAGTGGCAGTGTTGGCCCTCCACGAGACTCGATAGCCACGGAAACCAGGTAGAACCATTGTTCATCCAGCGATCCGGTGAAGGTGTTAACCGACGTCAGGTTGTTCAGGTCTCCTGCGGGTTCATCTGGGAAGATGGGTTTGTAGTTCCAAAGACACACGCCGGCATAGGTGGCTACCGGAGGGAGTTCCAGGTGGTCGCAGACTTCCAATAGGGGGATGGTCAGTTGGGGAGGGATTCTCTGAAACCCATCAAGTCAGCCATTGCATCATCGCATCATTGCAGGGGCAGTAGGCACATACCTCCTCCGGTCTATGACCCCCCCAAACATAGGCATGGAGGGTAAACACCAGCACTACATAAGCCCGCCGCCACTCGCCCTCTGACTGAAGGTACGAGGTCGACAATGTTGGTAAGCGGTCAACAGTCTCTCTGATCCTCTTGCTCAACAGCAGACCCTGCAGATTTGACGCTATTGCCTCCCATCTGGTGTAATAAGGGTCTGGTAACGCTGTGAGGGGCAACTCGCTCGGAAGGAAGCCATGATCGGGCGAGATGCCATAGTCCGCCAGATCCGGTACGGGGGCGAGCATGCTGTCTAGTCTAACAAACAAGGTGGTATGTTGTAGAAATGAAAGAACAATACCACAATCAAAGATCGATGGCAAAAACTGTCAAGTGAAAAAAGAATGAACCAAAAACAAACACCAGGGGTGCTCACGTGCTCTTGCCACAGGGGAAAGTAGCTGGTTGTCTGGGGGAGGGAAAAGGATATAAGAGATCTCCGGGACAGTCCCGATAGCAGAAACTTTGATCTTTTTCGCCCTCGGTGAGTTATTATTAAGTGCAATCTGCGCAAGATATGTACTATTGAGAATTTCTCCGCGAGTGACGAAAATGATGCGCACCGGCTAAGAGGAGTATGCAGGAAGGGGGGGGACGGGAATTGGGGACCGGTAGAGTCTGTTCCTGAGGTGGTTCTGGACTCTAATTCCCGCAATTTACGGGTATAACTGAGCATTCGACGGCAATAGAGTTGTCAATAGTTAACTGGTGTCGATCTTGGTAGTATGTAGTAGAGGCAAAGCAGGTAAAGCAGGTAGTATACGGAGTACATAGCAGACAGAATCTGGCAGCGCGGATATAGCGGCATTATGCGATTTCGAGTCATCATACCAATGTACTGACTTCCATGGCTCCAACAACCCAACCGTCTCCGGTGAAGTACTCCGTATACTCCGCAGCAAGTCCGATATAGGATGGCGCAATTGACGGCTGACCAAGCAGAACTGATCGGCCCCATTGAATGGATATTGGGTGTCCGCGAGAGGGGGCGGTGTTTAGCGAGACTTAGCCTGAGTGCTAGAAAATGGACCGGAAGCCATTGTGATTGGTGGATGGGCCCGGCTGTCGGCGGCAGAGAAGGGCACAACCCAGGTGTGGAATGCTAAGCGAGACGCTAACCGGTGCTCGCTCTCACTCACGCCAGGACCGCTGCTGTTATCGGGTGCAGTTTATTTGGACTACGCGGATCTATCTATACAACGGCACTCTATAGAGCACCAAGTATACTTATTCGTACTATGCTCTACCCGACTTCCCATTGGATTCTGCGTACAAAAAAAACTTGCTGAGTACGATTAAGCTTTGTTTGCATTCAGTACAGCATTGTGAGTGTCTTTAATATTCTACTTGTACAACGGGCACAGCGCTGCCCAATGCCTACATTTGTACTCTGTACTACTATATGAAATCATTTGGGACACAGTTTGCATCATTCATCATTATTCTGTACAATACCTAAAAGGCTAACTATACGTGCAGTTCATCAATCCTTACAAATGTCCAACGCCTTCCCACATGAATAGGTTTACAATACTCCCAAAGCGCTCATAATCAAACAGAGAAATGGAAAGGAGGAAAAAAAAGGAGAGAAAGATTAGTGCTGGCTCCACTCAATCGTCTTCAGGTCAATACCCTCTTGGACCAACTCCCACAGCGGACTCAGCTCTCGCAAGAAGTCCACGCGAGCCTGCACGGCCTTCAACACGTAGTCGATCTCGCTGTCGGTCGTGAACCGGCCGATACCGAATCGGATACTGCTGTGGGCACTTTCGTCGCTTGTGCCCAGAGCCCGAAGCACGTAACTAGGCTCCAACGACGCAGAGGTACACGCACTTCCCGACGACAGAGCAATGTCCTTCAGAGCCATCAGAAGGGACTCGCCCTCAATGTACGCAAACGATACGTTCACGCAGCCAGGGTAGTGGTGCTCAGGGTCTCCATTGAGGTTGGTGTGCTCCATCGACAAAAGACCCTCTGACAAGCGCTTCGACAAGCGCTCAATGTGCTTGGTGTCATACTATTCAACATGTTAGCGACCGTTTCGTTGCAAATCCATGCGTGAACACCAATAAGAAGTCAAAACATGTAAGACGACTCATTACCCCTGCTATGGTCATAACGGGCCTTGACGACACACCTGATGGCATGTAGCTACCGTCAAGGCATAATCAGAAAGCCATGCATAATTATATAGCTTATAATCATCGCCGTCGGAGAAAATAAATGGAGAAGACAAACACACGAAAAGAGAATGGAAAAGATTAACTCACCTCCATCTCTTGCTTGGAAAGACGGCAAGCCTCACCAAATCCTACTACAAGATGGGGAGCAAGGGTACCGCTACGCAGACCTCGTTCCTGACCACCACCAGTGATGAGTGGCTCAAGACGGACTCTAGGCCTACGGCGGACATAGCAGGCACCCATACCCTTGGGACCGTAGATCTTGTGGCTGGAGATCGACATCAAGTCAATGTTCATCTTGTTGACGTCGAGCGGGATCTTGCCCACCGCTTGGGCGCCATCAGTATGGAAGAAAACCTTCTTGGAGCGGCAGAGCTTTCCAATCGCCTCCAAGGGCTGAATAACACCAATTTCGTTGTTCACAGCCATGATACTGACCAACGCAGTGTCGGGCCGGATGGCCGCCTCGAGATCTTCCATCCGAATCAAGCCATTGTTCTGGACAGGCAGGTATGTAACTTCAAATCCATCGTCCTGAAGATGCCGGCAGCTGTCCAAAACACACTTGTGCTCAGTCTGCGAAGTGATGATGTGCTTCTTCTTGCCGGAGCGACCGAAGAAACGAGCCACACCTTTAATACTCATGTTGTTGCTTTCAGTAGCACCACTGGTGAAGACAATTTCCTTCGGGTCTGCACCGATCAGGTCAGCAACATATTGTCTCGATTGTTCCACTGCCTTTTCCGACTCCCAGCCGTAGGCGTGTGTCCTCGAGTGGGGGTTGCCGTAAATTCCGGTCATGTAAGGAAGCATCGCATCGAGCACGCGAGGATCCAAGGGCGTAGTGGCCTGCATGTCGAGGTATATGGGCCGGGTACCCTGGTCCATCACTGTCGCTTGCTTCAATATCCCGGCTGAGGGGCTCATGGAAGCATCACCGGAAACGCCGGAGCCGGGAAGGTCGACATTTTGCGGTTGAACGCCGGTCTGGTTCATGAAAGCTTTCTGCTCCTGCTTGATAGCAGTATCCACCGAGACCTGGGCATTTCCAGCCTTGGTCTCAGTGACATAGCCACGTCTCGTCACCGGAGTGGCGGCGGCCACCCTCCGGGGGAACAGGGAAGCATGCTGCGTCGACAAGCGACGAGCATAGGCTCTCGAAGCCTGTCTAAATGCTAATGGTGTAACACTCGACATATTTAAAAAAGAATGTAGAATATTACAACTGCACCATGCGAATAGGGCAGTGGTCAGTTTGTGGAAAAAAGAGGAGGAAAAAGTGTTAGGAAGATTGTTGCGGGCGGACGAAAAGTTTGGAACCGGTTATATCACTAGCGTCTGATTGCTAATCGTCGGATTTACTGAATTCTCCGATGTCCGAGCTCCTTCTCCGGATTCCGAGCGGAGTAAGGATTATTCCGGGGAATTCGATGATCCAGTATGCAGTCACACCGGAGTAGTCTCTGTACTCCGTAGAGCGTCTGCTTATGAGAACTTAGAACTAGTATCAGCCCCAAAACCGTGCTAACAATGCAAACAGTGACTGCAGTACATGTCAGTCACATGACTGGTTGTGGTTGCCTGATTTGGCCATGACTTCATCGCACTGCGCCACACAGGATCGGAAAAACGAGCCACGAGATACTAGAGTACGGAGTACAGAGTACGGATACAAGACTGACATATATTTCCGTGATACTAAAATCAGTCATAGACCATATACAATTAGTGCTGTGATCAAGCACTTTCTATGTACAAACACAAGAACTGTGCTGTATGTATACTCTCTGCACAAGAATAAAGGGGCCTAATGCCCAGCATTTATGTCATAGCTAAGCCACACTGGGCACCTCACTAGAAGATTGGACTAAACTCCGTATGGTCTCTTTTCGCCGGCGACTACAAAAAAGAGCCTTTTTCTCTCTCCCCACCAGCTCGCCTCTTTCTCCTTAATATCCGTTTCTTCTTGCCTCTCGTTCGTCGCCCTACAATATCCAATCCACTTGCGAGTCCTCCGGTTTCGTGTCTCTCCCTACATTCTTCATTGTCCTTCCTTCTTACTCACTGGGTCGGGTGCCTACACACTATTACCGCTAGTGCCGGAACTACCATAATTTGCCGCCGGAGGGATTGGACTCCATTATTCTACGTGTGCAGGAGACCTAAAGGATCGGTAACACCAACATGAGTTTCAAAGGCTTCCAGAAGGGCATCGTACGAGCGCCCCAGACGTTCAAGGCCAAGTTCAACATCGGCGAACATACCAAGGATGCCGTCTACAGCGATGCCGAACGTCGGTTCCAGGAACTCGAGAAGGAGACCAAGAAACTTCACGATGAGTCTCAGAAATACTTCAATGCCATTAATGGTATCTAGTCCTGTGTTTTGCTTGTTTCTACCCTTTATTAGTGCTAATTCGGTATAGGCATGTTGAACCACCAGATCGAATTCTCCAAATCCATGACAGAATTATACAAGCCTATCTCCGGTCGGGCTTCCGACCCCAGTACATACACCATCGAAGGCAATCCCGAAGGTATTCATGCCTGCGAAGAGTACGAGACCATCGTTCGCGAGCTCCAAGAATCCCTTGCGCCCGAACTGGATATGATCGACAGTCGGATCATCAGCCCTGCGGACCAGTTGTTGGAGGTGATCAAGGTGATCCGCAAAGTTGGCGTGAAACGCGACCACAAGCAGCTCGACTATGACCGCCACCGCGCCACTTTGAAGAAGCTGCAGGATAAGAAGGACAAGTCGCTGAAGGACGAAAAGGCGCTTTACAAGGCCGAAAGCGACGTCGAACAGGCTACGCAGGAATTCAACTACTATAACGACTTGCTTAAGGATGAACTCCCGAAGCTGTTCGCCCTGGAGGCCGAGTTCATCCGTCCACTGTTCCAATCCTTCTACTACATGCAGTTGAATGTCTTCTACACCCTACACGACAAGATGCAGGGCATGAACATTGGCTACTTTGATCTTACTCTGGATGTCGAAGAGGCGTTTGAGAAGAAGCGGGGTGACGTGAAGGAACGGACAGAAGAGCTTACTATCGTCCACTATAAAACCACTGCTGGCCGTCGTCCCGGCTCAAAGCCACCAATCCCGGGTGCGAAGCCCAGTTTCGCAAAGGAGAAGTTTGGTTCCGACGGCGGTGGCGACTACAAGAGCACCTATTCACGACCAAACAACACTTCTGATACAGTTGACAACCCTCCGCCGCCATACTCTGCTGCTGCTGTTGGCAGCAGTGCTAGCAGCGCCAGTAGTTTGGCGGCAGCGGCCAAGTGTAAACCGGCACCACCACCGCCCAAGCCCAAGCCATCCCAATTCCGGGCACCAGTGGAGACGGTTACGGCGCTGTACGACTATGAAGCACAGGCCCATGGTGACCTTAGTTTCTCGGCTGGCGAGGTCATTGAAATCGTGCAACGAACAGACAACCAGAATGAATGGTGGACAGGCAAGGTTGGAGGACGCGAGGGACAATTCCCTGGTAAGTTGCTACCTTTTTTCTGTGCTTATCATCAGGCGACTAATGAGAATATTTGCAGGAAACTACGTTCAGTTGCGATAATGGCAATCCACACAATCATTCTTACTACCTCCTTTACCGTCTCTAGTGCTATCCATTATTGTTGTCTCTTGTCAGGAGTTGGCTAGGGTCCGTCAAACTTGGATTTCCCAAACTCAGCACTGCTTTGACATCGTTTTTGCTTGCATTTCTCGTTTGACACAGGTTCCTTTGCATTTTTATCACTACTGCCATCATCATGTTACGATTCTCTGTGTAAATATTTGCCAACTATTTGTAATTGGAGTGACAGAATCAGTCACATTGCTATAACAACATTACTATATAATCGAAACAACAGCCTTGATTCTGTACAATTCATGGCATTCCGTAGGCAAATGGGGCTGGCGGTGATGTCATGCGCGCTTCGGATATAAAGCGATGTGACAACTGCATCCCACTTCCACTCAACACACTCTCTATGTTCTTGTCTTCCATCCGTCCAGCTCTACAATCCCGCCCTTTATTATCACCTGCTTCTAATTACATTCGCTACAGCACGTCGTCCATAATGGCCAACTTGAGCCTGTCTACAAAGTATCGGATGAACTCCGGACATGAAATTCCAGCCTTGGGCTTTGGTGTAAGTCTGATAAGAGAAAGAGATATGGAATTTGGCTAATATATGTATCTCAGTCTTACTTGATGTACGTTCATTTGGCATGGTCGAAATACAACGCTGACTGAAGCAGCTCCAATTCGCAAACACCAAAAGTTCTTCAGGATGTCTTCAATGCCGGTTACCGACATGTATGCCTTGTTATCCGCATAAAAAGTGCTATATTTGATAACTAATATTGGTAGGTCGATTCCGCCGTGATGTACCGCAATGAAAAAGGCTGTGGCCTGGCAATCAAGGGCTCTGGCATCGACCGGTCAGAGATCTTCTATACGACCAAGATTCTCCCCAGTGCCATGGGACACCTAAGGACGGCGAAACAAGTTGATGATTGCTTGCAGGAGTCTGAATTGGATTACATCGACTTGTTCGTTGCCTTCCCGTTCTCTTTAGTCTATAACAGCACTAACGAAATAGGATCCTGATTCACGCACCCTACGGTGGCAAGGAAGCTCGACTCGGGTCCTGGCGCGCATTGACAGAAGCTCAGCAAGCAGGCAAAGTCAAGTCAATCGGGGTCTCAAACTACGGGATCCACCATCTCGAGGAACTCCAGGAATACATCAACAGCACCAACGGCAGCAAGATCGATGTTGGACAGTATGAGATTCATCCGTGGTGCGACCGCCGGAATATCATCGACTGGTTGAAGAAACACAACATCGTTGTTGAAGCATACAGTCCGTTGGCGCATGGGTCTAGGTTCAATGAGAGTATTCTGAAGACGCTGGGGAAGAAGTATAACAAGTCGCCAGCCCAGATTATGATTCGTTGGGTGCTGCAGAACGTAAATGCCCCTTAAATTTCATGTTCTACTGGCAGATACTAACTGATTGTGCAGGGCATCGTTCCTCTTCCGAAATCGTCGACTGCAGAGCGCATCAAGGGCAACGCTGATGTCTTTGATTTTGAATTATCGGAGGATGAAGTCAATATGCTCCACACAGGAGAGTACTCTCCTACAGACTGGGATCCTACTCTTGACTACGATTAGATTGCAGAATATGTAGATTGATCACGTAAATAGTTGAGGCAATACATGTGCATAAATCCAGATTCCGCCGGCGGAGAAATCGCGGGGCTGCTTAGCAAGACCGAACCACCGCATCGTCTTATCATCTACCAGGACAGGATATCAATAAAATACTTGTACTTTCAGGCTATGCGCTTGGTATTGAACGTCACCATGAAGCTAGTCCTCTCTACCTCGTAAGTAGCAGACTTGACTCACCCCTCAATCCCGCCATTACCGGCTGGTCTCAACAGGAAACTAATAAACGAAGAAATCTCATGAAAGGCGGCGGCTCCTCTGTAATCCGGCGCCCAACAACCGAGAAGTCCAACGTCGAACTAATCAATGCTTTACGTTCGAACTTCCAAGCCTCGCAACACGAATCCACCAACGGCTCCTCGACCAACCCCTCCAACGGCACTACCCCGACGACGAATGGATACAAATCCTGGACCTCCGAGCACGACGGCACACTGTACATCCCTGCGCACGACTTCTCGCAACCGGGCCTGAGCGAAGAACGATCTCAGTACGACATTACCGTGAAACTATTCTATCTCCCAGGAATCCCGGTATCGAGACGATGCGCGCACACGCGGGAGGCGATCGATCTCGTTCTGAAAGAGCTAGGCGTTGACTCGATTGATCTTCTCATCGTTTCGTTTCCAGGTGTTTTATTCGACGCAGAAGACGATAGCGAAGACGAAGATGAAGCTACAGAAGGCGAAGACACGGGTGCAAATGAGGGACAGGCGGAGCAGCCGGATGACTTTGATAGTATGGTGCAGACCTGGCGCACGCTTGAGCAACTACAGAATGAAGGGATGATTTCGCAGCTTGGCGTTGCGGAGTTTGGCAGTGAGAGGCTTGCGCGCTTCCTTGCGCATACCGATGTGAAGCCTTCTGTCGATCAGATTAACCTCAAGGACTGCTGCGTCGTGCCGAAGTCGTTGATTCTCTACGCGAAGCAGGAGCATATCCAACTCTTGACGCACAATGACTGTAATGATATCTTGCCTGTCGGAACGACGAGGGAGCTACTTGGGCCTGGGGAGTCTGGGGTGGGGATTCTGGCTTCGGCGCCGGATAAGCAGGATGGGATCCAGGGTGATGTCGAGCCGCAGTGGGTGGTGAAGTACACGGCTGTTGTCAAGGACCGGGGAGTTGTTGAGAATAAGGGATATTTTGCGCTGGCTGATATAGGGAACTGTGTGCGGACGGGGTCGTGATTTGCATTATTGATACATGATATACACGATGGCATGGCGTTTTTCTTGTCAATATGTTTATTTTCCTCTTCTTTTCCTCTCTGAATTCAACCAATCATACTCCTCTTGCGACCTCTCATCCTGACTTCTTCCAGCCGCTTCAGCGTAGATACTGCACCCCGGTATGCCTCGTGATATCCCTGCAGCAGTTCATCGAAGAACGGCTCCGTCCGTGGATGCGTACTTCCAAACGCCCGCTCCAACACATAAAGATCCACAGCGCGATCCTCATCCTGATTACTATGCCCCGCAAGCCCAAAATCAATCAAAACCACCTCTCCCTCCATCGATGGATTCCCACCATCCTCTTCCACACTCGAACCCGCCGCCGTTGGCCTTAACATCAAATTACTTGTCGTCAAATCCCCATGCACAACACCCGCCTTATGCAACCCCCCAACAACATGTCCAATCCTCCTCAACAAATACCTCACCCGACTCTCCTCCCCTTTCCTTTGCTCCTCGCCCATCTGCGTATTCCTCTTCATCCACCCCTCCCACCTCTCTAACACAACCCTCACCACAAGCCCCTCGACCCACTCCATAAGCAACCACGCGCCCCCAGCCCGTCCTTCGAGCGCATCTTTCTCCTCCTGCCCCTGCGGTTCCCAATCCAGCGCTAGGATCGCGGGCACACTAACCCCCTCACGGACGAGTTTCGAAAGGCACCGCGCTTCTTGGAGGATCCGTTGGCGGGTTAGGCGGCGGTCGAGGATTGGGTGGCGGTATGGTTTTGAGGGGCGGATTTTGAGCGCCGCGGGGGTTGTTGGTGTTAGGTAGGTTGTTTTGTAGAGGTGAGCTTCGGCGCCTTGGGTGAGGAGAGTTGGTGGTGGGGTTGTGTGGGTGAAGGGGGAGGGGAGGGGGGGTGGTTTGTATTCTGTCATTTTCGTTTGTTTGTGTGTTGTGGAAGTATGTTGGTTTGAGTTGTTGGTTGTGATGTGACTGACTGAGAATGTTGGAGTGGGCTGCAAATCGCGATAGTGGGGAGTGACTATGTTACCGAATTGGGTTAGCGCTATTTGTATGTACTGCGTTTCTACTGCTCGCTATATCTGGCAAGTCACTCCCTACAAGAGAACTACAGAAAAAGCAAGATTATGAATAAAGCAGATGCCCATTTTCTTGTCAGGGTACCTTTTCCATATGACCAAATCATCGTCACCCCTCAGACTCCTTTGAGATTGATCCTTCGCAGATCGGTACATTTGTCTTCAAAGCTTCGGAACTTATGGAAGCCCTTGGTTTGGACATTCCGGACCGGGAAAGAGAATGCGTCTCAATGAGTATCTTGTCTTTATCACATCCCTCGTCATGCTATAATCAGTTTTCAATCGGTTGGAGAAACCCTACGAGGTATGGTTCTCTCAACTTCGCTATCTCCGGCTTTATACATGCAGAAACAGGCTTCTAGGCTAATTCTCCTCGTTTATAGGTGGTGACGAGGGCGATATAAATCGTGGCAGCCTGTCGTGCGGGCATTTCTTGAAAATATATCATCCAGTTGGCAGGTGTAGAGTAATCTTCGTTCTTGACATTGGTGACGAAGCGGATCGTCGTGCAGTAGGAATAGACAAGGTCTCGAGGTTCAGCATGTAAGGAGCAGCGAGGAATTTTTTAGGCGATTGGATTTGTGGCTATATGTCACTTCGATGTGATTTCAGCACTGGTGTGTATGCGAAGCAAATGGTGTACCTGTACCGGTTGCTACTAGGGACTAATCATTAGTCTTTTGCTCGATATACATCCAGTCAGAGAGTTTATTATATAGTTATAAATTACTGTGTTCAAGGAAAGGCTCAGAAGTACCTCCTTGGAGCTGACTACGTAGTACGTTGTACATACTTGTGCGGTGAGATTTCATAGAGAAGGGTTCAAGCACCTCCCGGGTAACTTTAACGGGATAACCTAAAGGGGGGCAAAGTCTCTGGGAATCACTTTAAGTAGAACTATAACAGAGGTGCCACGAAGATCGTCTGGCAACACAGTTTCAAGGAATGAGGATGATATGGGTGGTGTGAGGCACGTATGGGAACAGGGCCGATATATATTTATTTTCACTGATATCCGAAGATGGTGTCTTCAGGTTGTATTTCTCTGGAGAATGCACGCATATACACGGTATAGGAAATACGCATAAAACCCAGCTAAAAAAGTATAAAATTTTGTTTAAAAACATATAGATGAGAACAACAAGAAAGTATGCAACCCATACGCATTCTCCGGCGCACGCCGTTAGTAGCAGTTTTTGCACATATTTTACTTCATAGTGATGATCCGAGTATCAACAACTAAGCATGTTAGCTCAGGGGAAGAGCGCCGGGCTCATAACCCGGAGGTCCTCGGATCGAAACCGAGACATGCTATTCTGAATTTTTTTTATTGCCGAATTTCCAGAGCCGAGTTTGTCGGGCACCGGCGCAGAGACTTCGCTGCGGAACCGGATGCGGAGTCATATTTTTTGCTGCTGTTGCCGCCATGTTAGGCGGGCTGGGCCTAATTTTTGAACAGCAATCGGCAACATTCATTGAGCTATTTCGTGCTTGGGAGTCCACTTCAGATTGATTTTGGTATATAGCTGCTCAAGTGACATTCTCGTAAAATCACATCGGAGCCAGGACAAGATACAGCCTTTGTTCTACCCCATGAGACAACACGCAACCTGCCCCTCCTTCGATTTACTACCTGAAGAGGTAAAACGGGTAACCGAGAAGAAGCGCGCGATGAGACGACCCATCCTCTACATTGAAGAGCATTTGGCGCTGTCGAAGTGCAACCGTATTGATCGCAATATGATAGCTCATGGAGGCGACATGCACTTAGATATACGTTAACTGGAAGAGATAACCGGCCATTGTTTGCCAAGATGTTTTCCACACCTGGTGCAACCTCCCATATTCTAAGTATATATTTATTCTGATCAGTGTCGGGATTTGTGCATCAGTTATTATATGGGGTACTAGGATGTTGACCTTTTTCAGCGTTCCATTTGAAACCTATCATTTGTATCCAGGGCGCCTCTTACCATACCGGCCTTCCCATCTGCTTCTAAACCACACTCAACTAGCGCCAAATCGGCATTATGATACTTCATTAACGCCTGGTTTGATGTCCTTAGTATTTGATGGCACGTTCCATGGCGCCTCTTACACTGTGCGTTAATGAAATTACTTCTTTTGCTCGTATTTGCCATACGCTAAATGGAGCAAAACCCCTGCATGGATGTGTATTCCTAGCAAACACTCGGCTATGTACACAGCACCTTTACCCCCCTATTCCGTAACACCTCCGGCCAACTCAACCCATCCTCTTCCCTTCGCCTTGCCCAGATAAACTCACACACTCCCTTTGCCAACGAAACAGACACAAGCCCCGTCTTCGCAAGCAGTCCCTCAAACCACTCCGCAAAGTACCTTTGCGTTTCAGGTAGAAGTGCCTCACAAGCTGCCACAAACGCGGGCCACATAAGTGCCACCGTCCGTCCATTCCCTCCGGCGCTGTCTTGGGATTCCTCGATTTGCATCAGATAATCCTGAACTGTGAGGACTTCGCGCTGGAGCAGCGCGACGTCGACGTTGTGTACGCGGCGGTAGAAGAAGATGAGTAGTGCAATGTACGTAGCCTGCATGGAATTGTCATCCGCCGTCGACGTGGACGTGGATGATGAAGATGGCGATGACACAGATCCACACGCAGACGAGGAAATGAGTCGGTAGATACTCTTCTCCAACGACTTAGCTCGGAGTGTAAACTCTTTCAAACTGAGATTTCCATCTTGATCCATGGCTAAGTCACGCTCGTTCGCGAGTCGGATCACCTGCGACAGCAGTAACAGAAACGATTCCGCAATACCGTACAGCTCCGGAAAGAGCGTTGATGTCCAGTTCCCGGGGACCTCGAGGTGAAGATCGCGTCTGGCAGTGTCGGGGTCTTTCTCACTGCCCATTAAGTTCTCTGAAAGGGCCGTCCACCGGGATACGCGAAATTGGTCGTTGTCATCTTCACTCGCTTTGTCCGTACCCGGGGAATCTGTACTAGAAGTATAGCTGCTAGACCTGGTTGTTTCGGCCATGATGCGCATGTAAGCATAGCAGTGGTGCAAGGTGCGGCGTTTCCGGGAGAGAGTTGATTTATTAAAACCATTGGCGCGGATAAATCGCTCAGCATAAAGTAGATACGTTAACCGTGTATCCGGGTCGCCTTTGACCATCTATCTCGTTAACCATCTGCATATAAAGACAATGGAAAGGGAACCTACAAAAGCATTCGCCAAACACAGGATGGCCATTAGGACTTCCTTATACTTGCATTTGGTCTTGTCCATTTCAAGACAAGCCTCAAGATGCCCCCGCGCTCTTTCTGTATACTCCTCCCCAGCCACCATCCAATCATCAGCCGTTAAGCCGATCGACGAATTCTGAAGATGAAAGGCGCTGGTAGCTAGAAGAGCGTACAAAAGCCCCAGACGCGCATGACTCGCCGATCCTCCAATTGTCAGCTCCGCCATTGTTGTCATGGCACACGGCATGACTAAACTGCTCCATGGATCATTTACCTCGTCGTGCTGCGGATGTTGTTGCTGACGGAGAGAAATAAGATGGATTATTCGGTCACGGTAATATGAAAGGAGCAGCCAAGCTTTTGGGTCCTCGTTAACTGAAAACGTCATGCGATGGTTGTCCAGTGATATGGACGTGCTCAGATCAGTGTCTCTGAAGAATTCATTGGCCCTTGGTGGATTTGTCTGCGGGATAGAAGAAATTTGCAACAAATTGGCGAATATATCTTCATTGTTCCCAACCTTATCCTCGGGACTTGTCTCCAGAAGCCATCGTGTTAAGTCCTCATCCGGCTCAACATCACCAGTGCCGCCGATAGCATTGAAATCAATCAGTTCGCTATCATCATTGTGAGCTTCCTCTACCGATCCCAACCACCTAGCAACACCAAATGGCCCCCGAAACACTGAAAACGACTGTGACTCCTTTGGATATGTCTCCAGACAATCCTGCTCCAGATCCAACATAACCTGACCCGGATCTTGGTCCTGGGCCACGACTGCATCGATGAGCTCGTCGCTCATTTGTTGGCGTTCTGTGTCTGGTTTTGTCAGCGTCAAAATATCAGTTAATTTTCATACTGGGAAGCAAATTGCGAACCAGAGAATAAGCAGCGTCGATGTTTAGCTGCGTGTTCTGCATTGAGGGTACGGATTTCATTATCATTGACGAAACGAAGTTTGATGGAAGGGCTTGTATTTGCAGCCATATTGATTAATTGCTTAGTTTGTATCTTTCAGGGCATTGGCTATCTCTGCAACAGTGGTTTTATTATTATTATGGCCTGATATTGAAGTTTACCGAATCGTTGATGTGATTCTAGGCTATACTTCCCCGCATTCTGATATGGAAGGACATTCCGAGATAAGATAAGACACGATAAGATAACCATCGTAGCATGAATTATAGCCTTGCCAAAACACCGTCAGACTTGACTATAGACAAGTGACTCTTCTGAATATCGCTAATTTTGCGGCATCTATATCCGTTAGTGTAAAGCCGTACAATAGAGCCTGGACAAGCACATACCCCGCCAACGCCATTGTAATCTTCAGCTCTTGATGTAGGATCTTAATAGCCAATTCCACGCCTTCTTGTCCACCATACTGTGCTCGTCAGCGTCATTTCAATGATTGAAAGGTGTATTCAAAAGAGCAGCATACAGCAAGACCCCAGATCGGGATTCGTCCCACAAAGCAATGACTCGCACCCAGAGCCAAGGCCTTGAAAATGTCCGAACCCCGACGGATACCCCCGTCAATGGCAAGGGGGATTCTACCAGCTGCAACGGGAGCGCAGTCTCTCAGAGCGTCAAGTGTGGCCGGGACGCCATCGAGCTGGCGACCGCCATGGTTGGAGATGACGATGCCATCGATGCCGTATTTAATGGCTAGTTCGATATCCTCAGGTGTGTGGGCTGTGATTGTCAGTAATCTCGAAGGTGAATAAATGGGGTCAATTAGTATTACCCCCTTTGAGCCAAATTGGGAGCTTGGTATGTTCCCTTAGCCAGGGAATGGTATTTTCCCAGTCGAGACTCGGGTCTGATAAGTTAGCCCTGAATAATGATATCAAGAGTTAATCTCACCATATTCGGTCCGACTAGACGTATCGCTTCCATTACTGAGGATATTAGGCCATGACATATCCTCCGGTAGTTGATACTCATTCCGATACTCATTCAACCGCTTTCCCAAGACAGGTACATCAACAGATAGGAAAAGTGCCTTGTAACCAGCCTCTAATTGCTTCGCATCAGCAGAATGATCAAATCGTGAATGAGATGGAAGGGCGACATACTCTCAGCCCTCTCCAAAAGCTGCACCGTAATCGACCGATCCCTCAACACACACATTTGCATAACATATGGATTTCCTGATCCCTGACTGGCAACATCTTCGAGGGAGTAGTTCGAGTATGATGAGAGACCCATGCAAATTCCATATTTTGCCGCTGCGCGAGATGCCCCGACTTCCCCGTCTGGATGAGCGAGTCGTTGCGAAGCGGCAGGGCTGAATCCTAAAGGTAGGGCGACTTTCGTGCCTAGTATCTCTGTGCTCGTGTCGACCTGGTCGACGTTGACGAGAATGCGAGGACGGATTTTGTAGCGATCGAAGGCTGCTTCGTTTTCGCGGAGTCTAGAAAGGGGACTTGTTAGCATTGGTCAGGAGAACTTGATGAGAGCTCGTACGTGATAAGATCCATAGCGCCTTCATTGTAGTAGTCTGAACATTGTCAATAACTGATTCTTCTGAGAAACATGTTCGACGAGCATACCCTTGACCATAACAGGGAGGTTCTTGCTCCCCAAGGCCTTCAAATCCGCGATGCTAGACACATGCTTGTGTAGAGTCTCTCCGCGATGAGCCATTTTTGCGACTATATGACCAATTCAAATCGAGTAACTAATAGAGAGAAGATATAGAGAGAGCAAATAATGTGATGATCATAGGTGTAAACAGCCCGGTGCAATGGAAATAAATAGCTCATGATTTGGATCGCTCGGCCTCAAGGGAGCTGATCTGGCAAATTAACGAACAACAAATAATCCAGCAAGCGGTCGAATCATTTTGGGAGTCGATATCATTGACCCCTAGTAAAACCTATTCAGATGATAGCAAGTTCGTAGTGTTGCATTGATTCTAATCGGGAAACTCTCCACGGAATCGCCTGCCTTTTTCGATAGTGGTTGGATTACCCCACGAGGGGCAGTCATTCGCAATTGCAAGCCATTTTATTCTTTATTCTTCTTGACACTATCAACATTCATGTTGCAAGTCTGAATTACAAGTGAGCACAAGGATAATGGCAAAAATCTTCTTGTGAGAGCATCCCGCAACATTCGAGATCTCCCGCTAACCGCAACACAACAGAACAGGAGCCTCTGGATACATTGGCGGAGAGGTGCTGCATGTATTGCAGACTGCATATCCTGAGCATGAATATGTCGTTATGCTGAGAGACAAGGAGAAGGCACAGAAGGTGTCGAATGCGTATCCTAAGGTTCGCGTGGTGTCTGGGGATCTGGACTCCGCAGCGCTGCTGGAGGAAGAGGCGCGCAAAGCAGACATTGTTATTCGTAAGTTAACCTTAGTGCTATCTTATCATTATATTGTTGCTAAATTTTCTGCAGACCTCGCGAACGCAAAGCACATCGAGAGTGTCGAAGCTATCGCCCGTGGTTTGACGACACCGAACAGAGCAAAGCCCGGTAAGTTCTCGCTCGTTAACACGTTGGGCTCCTCTAACAAGAGTTATAACAGGCCATTGGATCCAGATTTCAGGCGCAAGTCTCCTTTCCTTTCCCGACATCGAGCAAAACACATACGGAGAACCCACAGACAAAGTATACAACGACTTCGAAGGAGTCGAAGAAGTACGCCAGCTCATCCATCGCCTCTCCTCCAAGCGTCTTGTCGACAGCTTCATCCTCAACCTGGCCAAATCTCCGACCAGTCCGAAGACGGCCCTCGTGTTTCCTCCGCTGATTTATGGCCGCGGCAGGGGCCCAGTCAACCAGCGTAGTGTCCAGGTACCGGAACTGGCAAAGGCTACGTTGCAGCGTCGTGCGGGTCTCCAAGTTGGAAAAGGGAAGAGCATCTGGAGTAATGTTCATATTACCGATATCAGTCAGATTTTCGCCAAGCTGGTCGAAAAGGCTCTCCAAGGCGAAGAAGGCGAGCTGTGGAATGAGAATGGCTTATATTTCGCCGAGAACGGGGAGTTGGTAAGTATAACGAAATTCTCTATTATACCTCAACGTACATCGCTAACATCATGATAGACCTTCAAGGAGATCTCGCAATTGGTTACGCAGGAATCGCATAAGCTCGGACTCGTCAACTCTACGTCTGTGGCAGAATTGACACACCAGGAAGCGGACGAGTTAAGCCCTCATGCTGGTATCCTCTGGGGAACAAATGCACGCGAACAGGCTCAGAGAGCTCGCACACTTCTTGACTGGGTGCCAAAGGCGAGTGCACTGAACAAGGAGATCCCAGAGGCTATTCGCGTGGAGACAGAGAGACTTGGGCTAAAGTCAATCTTGTAACCAAAGTTAGTATAGTTTACCTCAACATAGCAGATAACGGAGTGCTATATGCTATAGGGGCTTATCTTGCATTTGAATAGAGCAACAAAATTACAATGTAGTGACCTAACAAAGAGCTTAAATTTTGGCTTCTATAAGATAACCACAGAGTCTTGAGAAGGTAACATTTTCCACATTATAAGCAACCAAGGGATTTATTCAAATATTTGGATGTCTGTAATGACTATAAGGGTATAAGGGTCGTACTAAATATGGTGATTAAAGTGTTAGGAAGGCCAACGAAGAATGATAAAAGAAGTGCTTCGCACTGTATGGCGGCTTATTCCAGAACGAAGGCTGTCGAGTTGACAGATAGCAATAGACAATCCATTTTGTACGTTCATACCAAGCAGGCTATACTCCCCAAAGTTTCGGCCAAGCTGGCTACTTTATCCAAGATACCCGTCGACCTGGTACCGCACATGAACTTTTGAGGTGGTTTATGCCAATGAAACACCGGACAGCGCCCTTGATAGCAACGCCTGGATATGGAGGCACTAAGTACATAGAAAGCCCGTGAATTTTTGTTGACTTCAGAAGTGTTCCCAGGTGAAGCGAATCACATTCGTAGCTGCAGGGTATATATTTGCTCTCCAACTTCTCTCGGCGTCTCCCGAGAGCGATAAAGATAGGGGATAAAGCTGCTTGTTGAGTGTTATTAAATTGCATTATTGACAAACTCTGGTATGGACAGGTCCAAGAGATATAGGTCATTGGTCTCCTGACACTGTGCAATTCGCGTCACTTTGGTAAAGGCATCATAGTTATAATTAAAAAGATAGAGATCCAGTTTTTTTCTTTTTTTTTTTTTTTAGCTCATCAGAAAACACTGAAGGCACCTTGTCCTTCAAGCCTTCTAGCCAAATAGATGGATAAGGCACTAAGGCTTCGTGACACCCAAAGTAGTCAGTCAGCACCGCCAGCTTTGTCAACATTCTTAGATCAATGGGTGGGACCCCTGTGTTCGACAATGGATAATATTCAACATGATTGAGAATGCATTTGGGTCTATGTCGTAGACTTCTGGTTGGGGTATCATTGGAATTATGATCCCATCTAGAAAAGAGTATCTTTCCAAATTTCACAAAAAACTTGCATCAATCTTGTCGATGAGACTGAACCGGGACTTATGTGGTTCAGGGTCATTGTTCCCCACCACAAGCTTGACTCCACCGTGGAGGGAGCCCTGATGAGTGTACTAAACTCGTCAAAGAAGGGAAAGCAGGAGCAGAAGACGAATCTGTCAGTCTGATGTTTCCGAGACAGGGAAGCATCCTGTTGACGCAAAGGAAGTAAGTGAGCGGAACTTCATGTGACCAGATGACATCCCTTGTAGATGTGTCAATGCTGTTGGACTGAATAATTTTTTCGATATTTTTACCGTCTACTAACAGGTGTAGAGAGCTCGCAAGCTTCTTGAACACCAAAAGGGTGTCACAGACAGCGCCTGTAGAATAAATGATATGCTAGTCGGAGGAATGATCGGAGTGGTTACTTGACTACTACCCCGCATAACGTACTTTTGTATATAAAAGGCTGTCCGATGGGACATCCGCTCTTCTCTCCTTCAACGAAACCTCTTGTATGATAGCTAGTTATAGCGCTGCGGGCTTAGCCCCTAACAAAGGGAGCCCATTAGATAAAGGAATTTCAGGGACTGTTAGTGTGGAGTTAGAAAAAACTTGGGCTAAAATTGAACTAGGTTGGAGGTCTGGCTTATCTGCGAAACACCGAGGTGAATTGTGGCATTATAAGTTTGACTACCATCAGATAGCAATATTGCTAGGGTGCCAGGGATAGTATTGAATCAGCTGCTACCATATATTTTCCCGGTGGTATTGTCGGCAATTAAAGAGATCCACGCTAAAGCATATTCCCCTTTTATGGTTTGAAAAAAAAAAAAGTGATATCCCGTAAAACCAAGTACACTAGATCAACTCAAATCAAGACCCTGGAGCGCAGAGGTAGCCATTTCAATTTCATGCTTCGTGCTTTCACCAAGAAGTTTTAAATTAGACTGGAATGCTGTACTGAATGTCACAGAGCCAGGTTTTGATGCGTGAATGTTAGGGGGCTGTCGGAAATTCGATATCCGCCTAGCAACAGTGTCGACAGAGAAGTAAAAGTATGACGATTCAGGATTGAGGTCGTTAGATTTCATTGACTTGATGAGAGTTCCTAGATATAATGAGTCACAATCAGCACAGCATGCTGGTTGATCATTATTTTCCAGATACTCTCGACGCCGTTTAAGGGCGGCGAGAATTGTGGACAAGGCGACTCTTCGGGTTTTGTTGATTGTGCCTAGGCAAGTGAGAAAAGTGTTTTGAGTATGTTACCCGTGTCACTCACTATAGATAGACTCTGGAATGGGCAAATTATAAAGAGAGATATCATGATCCGCATGAAGTTGTACGATCCGTGTCACCTTTGTAAAGATATCGTCATAGTTAAACACCCAAGAAATAAAGATCCACTTCACAAGATCACGACAATACATAGAAGGAACACTGTTTTTCAAGTGTCGAAGCCATATCGATGGATAGGGTTCAAGAGCTTCGTGGCATTGGAAATAGTCGGCCAAGACAGCCAGCTCAGTCAATGTATCAAAATCCACAACATGAGGAACCCGTGCCATGCGGCAATGAATGATATTCAATATGATCAAGAATGTATTTGGGTCGGTGTCAGTAATATCCAGTTCCATAGACCCATTGGCGTCGAGTTCTTGACCTTCCCGCCATCGGGGAGTGAGCATCTTTCCGAAGTATGCCGAGGTCAACATTAGATGTCTTGAGGAGACCCGAAACCGCGACTTCAATGGTTTCGACTCAGTCGAGTCGTTGGATGTAGTAGTAATACTCGGGGAAGATGATGTGGCTCCAAATAGGCTGATCTTTTGTTTATACTCGGGTAAATGTGCTGGCGGGGAAACAACCAGAGTCACATCTCCGTTTGGATCGGGTTCGTTGACATTGGTCTGACAGGAAGACGTGCCGCGAAAGCCGGACCTTGGGACTTTTTTTTTAGTAGCCATGGGCTGAAAAAAAAAGTTTGTGGGTGTTGAAGAATTCTTTGGGGGTTGCCCAGAGTTGAACATTTTGGATCTATATTGATTGGCAAATTTTTTTGGATACAATGGCGTTTGGATCGGGGCTTTTGATGGTTTAAATATGGCTATTTGACGAGCAAGTGGTGTTTCGAAGCAGCGAGACCTGCAGGTCAGCTATTTTGACGTTGAGAAAGAATGAATAGACGCTTGGTGGACCACTCGGTAAACGGACGAATTAAAACCAAAAATAAGCAGCAGGAAATTACGCAAACAGTTATGCAATCAATAGTGATCACTCAAGTCCAATGATATTACTGCTAGATAATTGACAGCAGAATTATGTTCAATGTACAAACAGTAGTAGTAATTGCTATTAGTAGTAGTTGTTAGGGGTTTAACTCAAGTTGTCTTAACCTAAAGCTACCCTTTACTATACAAGAAGGAATCGTTGAAGAAGAAACAAACAGGGCAGAGGTGGGAGCAGTCTTTTATGGTCGTACGGGAATGAGATTCCAAATAGTGTTCTCGGAGGTCAGGAGTTGACCGAAAAGGTCGCCGATAGTCTTCATGTAAGGGGATCGTACGAAGGTCGTCAATAGTCGTTTCGGTCCCTTGCTGGCTGCGTTCCTGTTACAGACCCCTAAGGCACTAATCTCACGTGATTATGCGGGGAGTCAAGACAGAATCATTGGACTATAAGCTCTGGTAATAATGCAGGAAGGACAGGGATCATAGGTGATAGTTAACTGTCGGAAATGTGGCTTAGTCAGGGTTGAAAGTACGTATCAAGCGTATATGGTTGAGGTCTCTAATTCTTGCAAAAGTGTGCTATCTAGGATCCTATATAAGACCGTAAATACCTTATAGAGTATACTAAGCGATTGTGCGGTTTCAAAAGCAGTAATAGCAGAGTAAATACGCTGCTTTGCGCCATATGATATCAGCAAGGCATCAATCAGGCATCAGTTGGTATTGTTCGGTAAGGAACCTCTATATTCCGACATTAACATGCGCATCACGTGATCAACTACCATATACCATGGCTTGGCATTGGTAGATGGTATACAACCACCACAACAGTGCCAAAATTCGTGAGTATCTGCTCACGAATTCCACGCTAGCCACTGATTACAGAAGCATTGCAATTGCCAATCCTATGCCCGATTTCAGTATGGGGGAAGCCCCGGGCGCCTGTGAATCCCCGACTGCTTCCCCCCGGGAGCTCACCACCCTGAAGCGACCGCCCAAACGACCGAGACCAGAAACACCAAAGAGAACCACACAACCTGCTCCTACCCTCGGGAACTGGCAACTACCTGGCCAGTCTGTTCAGGACACGCCCCCAGCATCCCCCTCCCATGAAACCCCCCAGAGCCAATTGGGCCTCGAGCTCCGAAGCCACATTGCAGCAGCGGTAGCATCCCGCACAGCGGAGATAAAAACTACAGGAGATGAGGTCCTGGACCTTGTGTCTATGATCAGTCAGAAAGTCTCCAGTTGGGAAGAAAAAGGCCTTAGGAGCGCAGCAGCCTTGGGCAAAGACTTTAGGACCCTGGTCCTCAATTTCAGCAAGAACTTGGCGTCTGGGGACACCACCAAATGGGAAGAGAACCATCAGTCCTCTCCCTCTGTGCATAGAGGCTATGCCGAAGCTGCTAAAAAAGCCCCAGCTAACATTCCCAAGACTCAACCCAAACTATATGAGACTCCCCACAAGTCACCACAACTGGAGAAGCCCCCCTGAATCTTCCTCTGCCTCCCCAAAGATCATGCAGCCCGCCGAGCTAGCCCTTATGCCACTATGGATACGCTAAGAAAACATTTAGACAAGACCTGTTCTACAGCTGTAAAAGAGGTCCAACAAGTGCCCTCTGGCCTGGCTATCTGGCCTAAGGATGGTTTGGGTCTCCAGCTCCTCATGGAACGTAGAGAGACCCTAGAGTGTCTACTACAAGGTTCCAAGGTGGAAATGGAACAGAAATGGGCCATCTTTGTCCTGCCAAACACGCCACGACAGTATACTAGTTTTGAGGGGACTCAAGAGCCCATAAATGAGCAGATGGCCTTGGATGAATTCAAGCTTCAGTCAGACCTATCCCCCTTGAAGTTCTACTTCTCAAATAAAAACCCACTATCCAGCACTCTTGTTATGGCTGTCCCTGAGTACCAGGCCCGAGCTGTCCCCAAATGGATCAATCTTTTTGGCAAGAATGTACAAGTCAAACACAAACCTCTCTGAGCCTGTATAGAGCAGTGTACACGATGCTGGGACTACCATAACCCCCAGACCTGCACTAGAACACCCAGATGCCGAATTTGCAGCAAGAGGGACCACTCTGAAGAGTCCCATCCTTCTCCTGAGGATGAGGGGAGCTCAGACCCATGCTGTACCAATATCTGTGGACCCTTCCTAGCAGACCACTCTAACTGTCCAACCCGGCCTACTGTACACCAAGGGACCATCCAGCGGCTCTCCAAGTCACAGTATGTGGCAGTTAGGAAAGCAGGC